GCCGCAGAGTCTGAGCTGCCGGGACAGGGCGCTTGGCACACGGGAGCATCCCCAGCTTTGGGGCCGAGACGCCTGTGCCTGCCTCTGCCCTTCCTACTTTCTCCGGAGATCCGGGCGAGCCTCTCTGTTGGTGGGCTCATCCGTGGAGTCGTGCTTCGGGTCCCCGCTGGGGGAGACATGCCCGAAATTGGGAGCGATGTGACGCTCAGCCTCCCACTTCACCCAAGGAAGCGGGCTTGCTGAAGCCGGAGCCGAGAGGGGACCATGGGAGGGACGCAAGTCAAATGGTGAGCGGAAGCCACTTTGGCTTTGGAGGTGGGGGCATGGGTGGGACAGGGCCGGGACTGGAGAATCCCTGGACAGGGGATGCGTGGGGGCGCTGCACTGGGAAGCACAGGAGGTCGGCCGGGGATTATCACTGTAAAATACGGTGGGTTTAGGAATGGAGCCAGCTAGAGGAGGAGTAGCTTTTTACCCTGTGTCTCTGCTAGGGAGGGGACATCCCTTACCCGTTTAAATATACTGATTTAAGTGTAATTTGGAAGTATCTTTGCTGAGGGATAGCTTGCCTCATAAATGAAGATGGGAGGGTTACTAGACCTGTGGCAATTAAGAAATGTATCATTCCGAAGTGATTTGCCAGATTTGTAATCGGTTGTTCTTTGCCCTCACAGTGGATTATGATGGCAGATGAGGGATTATTTGCTTATAAAACAGGCCTTTTACACAGAAGGGAGGGACCCAAGTCTTAGAATCAATTAGCATTAAAACACTTTTCTCTGCCCCAAGGCAGAGGATTGACTTTCCTCTTCCAGGAGATACTGAGGGAAGCAGCATGTTGCCTCAGGATTTTTCTCTTTGGGTCCTTCATCTTTTTACTTGGCCATCTAGATTCCTGGTGTTACCTCAGTGGCCTCACCCTGGCAGCTTCAATTCAAGAAAGAGAAATGTTGTTTTCCTTTGGCTGCTCTGCCACTCCCCCAGTGGGGCTGGGTATCCAGACATCCGCCTCCTTCTGCCCTTATATGGGAGACAGCTTTCTTAGGAGGAAAGAGGTGGAGCTGGGCATGCGTCTGTGCTTTTAGGAAAGCAGTTTTCCAGTGTCCTAGGTTCACACTACACCTTCCCCACCTTTGTCTCGCACATACCTTCTGTGGTCCAGCCAAATGCAGGCGATGGAACATGTCATCCATAGCACTTTGTCAGCTGAGAAAGTGATGTCTCTTACTCAAAGAGGAGCAGCAGTTATAGGCTTCTTTCTGCACCTAGATTTCCATTTCTGCAAGATGTAAATGGTGAGGCCTGAGAGGTCATAAATCTGTTCTCCTTATAAATGACAAAGTATTCTTAGACAGTAGCTTTTCCAGCAGCTAATTCATGTTGGCCTGGAAATCAGAATGCCTAAGTGGTAAAAGATGGATAAGAGCGTTCTAGAAACTGCTTACCATTTCTGAATACCACTTCTTATCACCTCTCATCTCTTTGATCTGTTTGAGTTAAGGATCTATAAATATGGTTTAGCAACTTTTTAAAGCTTGAAGTAACACAATGCCTTACTTTTTTCCTGTAGTTCTAAGAAGGAAGAGAACAGAGTATTGATTGAGGTCATTCCAACCAAAGCTCCTCAACTGTGGACATCAAGGAGAATGAGACATTCGTTCTCAGGCTTCTTCACAGGTTTTGAAATCTCTGGGTCTTTCCCGTGTTTGGCTCTTGTTTTTTGCTGGTTTCTAGGAAGATGAAATGTTAACTCCTGATCGATGTTGTGAGGATTAGTCTGGGAGACTTCAGGGGCACATTAAGTGGGTCAGTGAATCCTAGACACTTTGACTGTTGTCTGGGTGATGGATTTGGAAAGAATGCCTAAGAGGGGGGCTGGGTCTGCAGACCCTTCAGACCCTGAGATTCTTTCATTCCTGATATTCTCAAGATGCAACTCAAAAAGAAATGGCTCTTCAGACTCCCTTTATCCTTATCAGAGAAGCATCAGCTCCACGTTCCCACCTTGTCTTATTGATTTGCTGTTGTTCCAGAGATTTAAAGTCACATTTCCCTGAAAATCTGAATAGTTCCTCCCAAGACTAGTAGTTACATCAGAACTTAAGAGTTGTTGATGACAACTTGAACATATTGTGGCAGAAATACAAATAAGTTTCTGATGGGAGTAAATCCAGTAAACCTTTACTATCCCAAGCAGGTCTTTCTTCTTTTTGACATATTACCCTTATCGTGTTCTGGATTAATTGTTGATAGATTACTGCCCCCTTCCTTGCCTGGCACTGTATACACTCTATTTTTACCCCTGATCTGTCCTCACTCTGTCCCCTCTTTGGAATCAGCCTAGAACTGATCTGTGATCACTCTGCTGGTACTCTTGTATTTAGAGATCAGGGTGTTGGAAATAGGATTTTCTTCCAGATCCAAAAGCTTTTAAGACACATACTGGCACCAGTATCTGAACAGGGTACTGTTGATGGTGGTAGTAGAGGTAGTGGAAAGTAAAAAAACAACAAATGAAACTTAAAGTTCTTTAAATACTAGAATACCTATTCTTCTGATAATTCTCTTCTCAATTATGCTTAAAGACAGATTTATTGTGGAAAAGTCTTCCTAGGCCTGTGTTACTCATTCATATGTTGATTTACAACAGAATGTGTTCTTACTGTGGGTTAGGTATTGCGGTATTTGGAGTAAGATGAATAAGAGCATGTCTCTAAGATAAATTATGAAAGTTAGCTTCTAAAATAATGTTTGTATCTCTTCCTTTTTCTTTGATCACAGCCTGACTTCACCCAGTCCAATCCACAGTGCAAAGAGTGAATCCATTATAACCCAGGCGGAAGAAAAGGCAGATTTTGTGATTATTCCCTCAGATGGAATAGAGAACAGAACAGGTAATGTCTTCCTGCCTTCGTTGGGTCAGGGAGTGACCCTTACCAGGAGAATTTGGAGGTCCTGACTATCTGTCCCTAAGCTCCCTGGTCTCACTCCTCTCCATGGTCTGTACTCTAATGCCTTGGAACCAATTAATGTTCTTATCCTCTTATAGAGTGTCCTTTCTGGTGTCTTAGCTGTCAAGAATCATGTAGCAGCATAGACAGCTGGCTGCCTGTGAATTAGAAAATGACTTTGGGATAATTAGAAGCCTTGCTCAAGTAAACAATTTTTTTAAAAAAATTTTATTTAGGTTTTTGGCACTGGAGATTGAACTTAGTTCCTTGTGCTTGTGAAGCAGGCAGTAGAAACCCTGAGCTAAATCCCTGGTCCCATCAAGTAAACAGGTTTTATTATTCTTGTCTTATACAAATAATTTGGATACTTGCCTAACTTAAATTGGGACCAGGAATACATAGTAGAAACCGAGATGTCTCTGAGAACATACAGGAGAGAGCAGGTCCACATTAGGCTTGGCATGAGGGCTATGGAAAGAGTTCGCTTTGTTTAGACTTCTTAATCTGTCTCATTTGTCTCATTTTTTTTTTCTTACATAAACAGAAGCATGGGAGAATCAAAGCATAAGAGTTAGATTGAATTTCATTCACCCGTAAGTGTTGTGATGGAACTGAAGCTATCAGAAGAAAAGCTGAATTCTTTGTACTGTGCTCCTCTTTGGCCCTGGCTTTAGAACCAACAGTCAGTCATGTTATTCACAAACTCCTTGTGCCTTAGGGAGGGAGGGAGGAAAGGGATATTTATTGAGTAACTGCTCTAAGCCAGGTGCTTCTAGTGTCTGCACATAATTTTTTTGTTTGTTTTGTGGTGCTGGGGATTAAAGCCAGGGCCTTGTACAGGCTGGGCAAATACATCCCAGCCCATAAGTTACTTCTTTTAATCTTCAACACAATCTAAAGGAATTATCATATCCTCTTACGAGGACACTTAAAAGAGTTTGTATCCTCCTGTATTCCATAACGCTTTTTTTTTTTTTTTGGTATCCAGGATTACCATAATCCATTTCAAAGATTATCCATACAAGGGCTGCCATGGAAGTAGCTCAAGTGGTGCCTCCCCAATGCCTGCCTCCCAAGTGCAAGGTCCTGAGTTTGATTCCAGTACCAAAAACAAAAACAAAGACTGTCCATATAGTTAGGATAAAGGCAGGCAGGGAAAACAGAGCAAAGAAGCCTTAAAAGTAGGGAAATAAAACCAGAGAGCAGTATTAAACAGTTTTGTATATTTTTACTGGTTTGTTTTCTGTGTGATTCACACAATGTTCTGTGTGAAAGGAATTCAGTTATGACTCAAAGCCATCAAAGGAATATTGAATTATGGTCTCCCTCCTAAACCTCCAGAGGAACCAATAGGAATTTGTTTTTGTTGCATCCAACATTTCTTTTCTTTGTACATGGCAAAATCAGGCTCTCGGAATGGCAGTCTAGAGAATTAATAGTAAAAATGTATGGGTCCCCTATCGAGACTGATGGTGAGGCTTCTGTTTCTTAAGGGTTCAGGAAGACAGGTTTCCCTAGCAGAGTGATTGATGCTTCCTTGAGCCCAGAGTCAGAGTTAACTTCCAGCTCATTATACCTCACAACCCCATCTGGTGGAGAGTCCAGTTGTCTGTGAGGACAGGTTCAGAAAGCAGGTGACCTGAACATGTGAACTACTCTGTGAATGCTTTCTGCCGGAAATCGGTTTTCTTCAACATGAACTATACTCCCACCTTTCATTTTATAGAGGAGATAGACTCTCCATTATCCCAAGACTGGCAGCCAGGGAGCCCTGGAACCTATCTGGAGACCTCATGGGAAGAACAGCTGTTGGAACAACAAGAACATTTAGAAAAAGAAATGGAGGAAGCAAAGAAAATGATATCAGGACTACAGGTAGCTCTTTGCCTTGTAGTTTGTCCTTAGTGTACCAGCTGATTATTATTTTTGTCAATTGAAAAGCTGCTTTTAGTTTTGTATGAGACCAGAGTTGAATGAGGAATTAGTACAGTACACAAAGAGCAAAAACTCCTTACATGTGTGCTTTAAGTGGAGTTTGTGGACTGTTGTTTATAGTATAGCTGTTGGGATTACTGCTAGTTTATAAGCCATTACCTCCCCCTATCAAACCCATAGTCTGTCTTTGCTTCACAGGTAGGTTTCTCTCTTTTCTGCTGTTGCAGACTTGGAAATTGCAGCTTTCAGCGAAGAATAGTACTGTGAATAGTCGGAATTTTCTCCAAGTAATTCTCCAGCTGGAAAGGTGGAAGAGCCAGTAGTGCCGCCAGGTTTCCATTTGAGTCTAGTTAATGATTTAGCTCACACGTAATGTATTTGCAAGTGATTGCGGGGCGTAATGATCAGGTAGAAGAGGTTTTTCTTAAAACAACAAAGCCCTCCACTTTTCCTGTACCTGTGTCAGCTCAGCGATTTGCCCCGAGACTAGTTGACCCACTCGACATAGTTCCCACCCCGAATGACCCCCTCAATCCTATGTCTTTGTGTGATTCTCTCTGTTTGGGGAGTCCTTGTAGTGTGCTGATGACCCTGAAATTGCTTAGGAATATTCCTTCCTGTTTATGCTGGGAACTGCACTGCTTCAGAGTTGTGAAATATTTATGGGCATGTAAACAAAGCCCACTTTATGTGTGTGGTTCTGGCAGCCGGCAGGCGACGGAGGGCTTGCTTCTAGCCAGCCAGCAACAGGGAGGAGACACAAAAGGTTCCTAAACAAGAAAGGAGATTGGTGCATTGGGAAAACAATTTGCATAATTTATGCTGTAGGAACTGCCTAAACATTCCTAAAGTGGTGGTTTTCCCCAACATTTACTCTGATTTTAAAAATAATTGTCTGGCTCGTGAGGTCTTTGAAATCCCCTTTCTGCCTCATTGAAGAATGCCTAAATGGATTCTTTTTTTTTTCTTTTTGCTGTATTTTAATAGGAAAATTCCGTGAAAACTTTGGGATTATACCCAACCAGGTTTTTCACATGAATATTTGCATTATATGAGCATATATATCCATCATTTTGGCTCTTAGTTTGGTTTGTATTTCTTGGTCTGGGAGAAATTTGATGGCAGATGAAACAGAAAAGAAAACAGGCAGAAAGTCAGCACCTTTATATTCCCTGCAGAGAGAGGAGTTTTAATTCACAACCACATGATTACAATGAGAATTCAGCTCTATAGTGGAATACAAAAGAACTCACAGCATCCACAGGCCTCTTAACTCTTTCAGTCTTGAACAAGTTGCATGCTAAGCCACATGCAGGATTTCTGACTTATTAGTATGCCTCATTTAGGGTTTGTTGAACCATTTGCCATTAAAGTCACGATTTCTGTAAACTTGCTCTCCCTTACCTTCCTGCAACTCTGTAGAGTCATATACATGTCTATACCTTTGGCCGTGACTCCGATAATCAGATTATTAAAATTATTATTAGTGTTTAGTAGATGAACTGTTGGCTGGATTTTTCTTTTTTGAGATTTTGGGGATTGAACCTAGGACTTTTTCACTGAACTATGTACTCTTATCCACTTTTAAAATTTTATTTTGAAGGAAATGGGTATGGTGGCACACACCTGTTATCCCAGAACTGGGAAGGCTGAGATGGGAGGATTACTGCAAGTTTGAGGCTAGCTTAGGCTATATAGGGAGTTCAAGGCCAGCCTGGAGTGCACAGTGAGACTATGTCTCAGAAAACACCCTCAAAGGTCCAGGGATTTAGTTCAGTGGCACTGCACCTAGTTTGATCCCTGGTATGAAGACTTAAAAAAAAAAAAAAGTCCTCAAAACTTTTTTATTTTGATGGGTTGGGGATTTAGCTCACTGGTACTGCTGCCTGCCTTGCAAGTGCAAGGTCACAAGTTTGATCCCTGGCACGCACCCCCCGCAATTTTTTTTTTTTTTAATTTTGAGACAGGATCTTGCTAAGTTGCCCAGGCTGGGTGTGAATTTGTGATCCTTCTGGTTCAGCCTCCCAGAATACTGGAATTACAGGCATGCATCATGCCTGGCTTTAAAGCAATCTTTTTTTTAACATTTATGAAGAATTTGTGTCATTTTTATTGAAACAAGATTTAATCTTTGTATCTCTTCCCTTAAACTGAATGGAATTGTGATGTAAAATAGACACATTTTTCAGTCTTTCACCGATCTGATAGGTCTCATGATTACCTACCTGGAAGGACAGATCCAAGTTTTTGGGATTCCAAAGTATACAGTTTTAAGAATAACATTACAAAGTACAAACACTGTATTAGATAGAGGATCTTGGGAGAGGCAGTGTGCACAGTGGGTTCAAGTTAGAGTTTCCTTAGCTTCAAGGTAAATCTGCTTAGCCCCTTCAAGACCTACTAATATTCTGATGAGAACAGAGCCTGGGGGTGAAATGAAAGAGGGCATCTCTCAAAGATGTTTTTCTTCTTGCTTTATTCAGTTTATCATAGGGAGTAAAAATGCAGAATTATTGGGCCAGGGATTTAGCTCAGTGGTTCCACAGCCTTCGTCACAGGTGCAAGGTCTTGAGTTCAATCCCCAGTACCAAAGTAATAATAATGCAGTATTATTAAACAAAAAGCAAATCATCCCAAGTCATTGTTCTTAATATATTTCAAATAATTCACCATAATTAACTTTTCTGAGATTCAGGGTATAAGTCAGTGGTAGAGTGCTTACCTATAATGTTCAAGGCCCTGGGTTCCATGCCTAGCACTGTAAATACAAGAAAAAAACAAAACAAAAAAGCTGTATCATATATAATATACTTTGTTAGGCTAGCTTTTTCTTTCTTTCTTTATTTCTTTTTTTTATGTGTGTGTGAGATAGTCTCGTTATGTAGTTTAAGCTGGTTTTGAATTCATTACGTAGCCCAGGCTGGCATCGAACTCATGGGGGTCTTCCTGCCTCAGCCTCTGGAGTGCTGGTATCAGAGACCTGTGCCACAGTGCCCAATCAAGCCAGGATAGATCTGCACTGCTTTCCAGCGGGTAAAATTTAGTTAGAACATTTCTAGTCTGAAATATGTTCTGTTGCTTCTGAGAAGTAGGTGGTTTTTAGATTTTCTTCTGGGGACCCGGAACTGTGGGGCAGAGGTTTAATGTGTGTGCAGGGGGATGAAAAAGTTCTAAAGCATGGACTGGACAAAAGGAGCTACAGTAGTTCCAACAGAAGCAGTTGCAAGTTACCAAGGAGATTTCTAGAGGAAGCCAGATTGTGTTTAATCTGGGGTGAATTTTACCAAGCCCAACTCTGGACCTAGTCATCTGATACAGAGTGAAGTTCCTTTCTGCTTTTGTGATTATTCAGGCCTTACTGCTCAATGGATCCTTACCTGAAGATGAACAGGAGAGGCCTCTGGCCCTCTGTGAACCTGGAGTCAATCCTGAAGAACAGCTGGTGAGCTCCATCTTTTGTAACCAAACTCTTTATCTACTTTATGTATTCAATTTATTTTTAGCATTTGACTCTACTGACCATAACTTCTTGAAATGCTCTTTTCTTGAATCCAACTCTTTTTAATTTTTTTTTTTTTTGAGACAGGGTTTACATAGTTTAGGCTGGCCTTGAACTTATTATGTAGCCCAAGATGCCCTTGAGCTTGAGGCCTCTGAAGTGCTGAGATTACAAGTGTGCACCACCACACCTATTTTATTCTTTGCTGGGTTTTTTTGTTTGTTTGTTTGGTGCCAGGGATCCAACTTGGGCCCTTGCACTTGTAAGGCATGTGGCAGAACCATTGAGCTAAATCCCTGGCCTCAGTGATTTACTTTTTTCTTTCTTTTTTTTTTTGGTACTGGGGATTGAACTCAGGACCTCTTGCTTGTAAGGGAGGCATGATGTCACTGAGCTAAATTTCTGGCCCTGTTTTTAGTTGTTTTGATTAATGTCTGTGCTCATATTTTGGAGGAGGGTTAGGTTTTCCTTTTTTTCTTTTTTCTTTTTGGTACCAGGGATTGAACTTTGGAGTGTCTGCTTGTGAGGCAGGCAGCAGCACCATTGAGGTAAATCGCTGCACCCACCCACCCCCATACTGGGATGAACTCAGGACCTTGTGCTTGTATATGTGCTCCTGAAGCGAGCACTCAGGACCTTGTGCTTGTGAGGCAGGCGGAGGCACCACTGAGCTAAATTAAATCAGTGTCTTACTACATAGTTCAAGTTGGTCTGAACTCACTATGTTTGACATTGTTTTTTGTTTTGTTTAGTTTTTTGGGTACTGGGGATTGAACTCACAACCTTGCACTTGCGAGGTAGGCATGATGCCACTGGGGTAAATCCCCTGCCCTTTCTTGAACTCATCATGTATCCCAGGCTGGCCTTGAACTCATGGTGATCTGACTCCCTCAGCTTCCTGAATGCTGGGTTTACATGTGTGCCTCTAGCTTTCACTGATATCTATAGCGGCCATAATAGTTTACCTACCAACAGTGTAGGAGAATTATTTTCCCCTGCTCCCTCCTCACCAGCATTTGTTGTTTTTTGTGTTCTTAATGATACCCACTCTGTCTGAGATATGATGGAATTTCAAAGTTGTTTTGATTTGCATTTCCCTAATGACTAAAGATGTTGAACATTTTTTTCATGTACTTGTTGGCCATTTTTACTTTTTCTTTCTAGAAGTGCCTATTCATTTCATTTGCCTGTATTTTAATCAGGTCATCATCTTACATTTTGTATACTTCTTCAATTTGATCAACAGGTGCTTATTGTGTGCTGACTCTGTGGTAGGCACTGTTTCAAGGTACCAGAGATAGAGAGTGACAAAACAGATCTTAGACCCTACCCTCATGGAGTTTATGTCCAGTTCCCTTTTCTGCTAGCATCTTAAGTGACAGTGCTCATCTGTACTCCACTTGGGGCCCTCTGTCTCATCTGTCTCATCTGTCCCCTGGACAGTATTATCTGCTTGCATATCTTTACCACTGCCTTCTTGCTTCCCATATATATATTTCCAGCTTAGCCCTCTCTGTGGAGTTCTAGATTTGTGTATGCCACATGCTAATGATCTCTACTTGTAGGTCCTGTAAGCATTTCAATTTTAATGAGTCCTAACTTTGACAGTTTTTCTCACCTCTACCCAACCACCAAAAATTCATGTAACCAAATGCCCCAAACAGAAATTTAGGTATCATTCTTGAATCCTTTCTGATCCTTTCTTGTACATCTACTTTTCTCCATTCCTACAGCCACTACTTTAATTCAGGCTTTTGTTTGGCATTCTGTGAGCCTTCTTACTGGTTTCTCTGATTCCTTTTTTTGCGGGGGTACTGGGGACCTTGCGTTTGTGAGGCAGGTGGCAGCACCACTGAATCCGGCCCTCCCTGATTCCTTTTCTATCCTTCTTTAATTTCTTTTTTTATAAAACAGCAAGAATAATTTACCTTAAAGGCAAACTCCATTCTGTTACACCTCTGCGTAAGACTTTTCATCAATTCCCCATTGCCTTCCCCAGCCCTATCTTCTTCTCCTTGATATTTCATCTTCCTATTATTGATATTTCATCTTCCTGTTAGCTCACTGGCATATACATCTTCATTCTCAGCTTTAGCTTAGTTCAGTGGACTTTGGATGTATGCCTCCATGCAAGGGCAAGGACTGTTTCCTCTTTGTACCAAACATAGAGAGTTAAAATCTAGTAGGTGCTCAATAAATAATTTGTTGAATAGATGGCCTTGGAATTTCATAGCATAGATGCCTAGCATTTCTTTTTTGTTTATATTCAGATTATAATCCAGAGTCGTCTGGATCAGAGCATGGAGGAAAATCAAGACCTAAAGGTATGTCGGAACATGTACATTTTACTACTTGAAAAAAATACAGGAATGTTATGCACCAAATTCAGAACAATCCTTGGGGGAAAGAAAAGGAATGCAGAATTACAGCATTACCTGAATTTGTCTCATGTCTTTATTGGAAAGAGAGAGAAATGCATCCAAAATATCAAAAGAGTGGGACCTAAAAAATATAAGTAACACCTTTTTAATCTTGGTGGTGGGTAACTAGTGTCTATTATTAGTCATACCTTTCTGTATGTTTAAAATATTTAATTAAAAAAGAAAAACTAGGGTGAGGGATTTAGTTCAGCTGTTCGGTGGCCTGCCTTGCAAGTGCAAGGACCCAAGTTCAATCCCCAGTACCAAAAAAAAAAAAAAAAAAAAAAAAGAACCCAAAAACTGGGGCTGGGGATTTAGCTCAGTGGTGCCACCACCTGCTTCCCAAGCTCAAGGACCAAAGTTTGATCCCTGGTACCAAAAAAAGAAAAATAAAAGCTGAACCTTAGTGTGATGTTTTTTATGAGTATCTCTCAGAATTCTCTTAGGTCAGGGTTTCAAATTTTTATGAGCCATTGATGTATGATTAAAGCCACTAACCTTTTCCCCAGTAATATACACACACACTCAGAGCCTGAATTTTTAACAGAATAACTTTTTTTGTGTGTGTGGCACTGTGAATTAAATCTCAAGCCTTGCATATACAGGCAAGCACTCTACCACTGAGCTATGATGTCAGCCCTAATAGAGTAATTTTTGAGCCCATCCCTAGAGTCCACATTAAAAATCTTGTTTTAAAAGATGGGAGTGGTGTTGCATACCATAATCTCAGCTACCCTGAAGGCTGTGGCAGGTGGATCAAAAGTTTAAGGCCAGCCTGTGCAACTTGACCTTGTGTCAAAGTAAAATAAAAAGTGAATTTGAGGCCAACCTTAGCTACATAGTGAGTTCATGGCCATTATGAGAACTTCTCTCCAAAAAGTAAAAAAACAAGCCAATAAATAAGTAAATAAACAAATATAAAATAAAAAGAATGGGATGTTGCCTTTGTCTAACATGCATCAGGTTCTAGGTTTAATTCCCAGTCTCACACATTTAAAAAAAACCCTTTTTTTTTTTGCTGGGCATGGTGGCACATGCCTGTAATCCCAGCACTCGGGAGGCTGAGGCAGGAGGATCACTGTGAGTTCGAGACCAGCCTGGGCTACATAGTGAGTTCCAGGTCAGTCTCAACTACCTAGTGAGACCCTGTCTCAAAAAACAAAGCAAAACGAAAAACAACAACAACAACAACAAAAACCAAAAAAGTAAAAAACCCCATTTTCTTTATATTAATTACAAATATTTGTATGATGCTTTATGAAGAGAGCAGAATCTGGGTTAAAATCTTTCTAGTGAAAGTCATAGATATAATTCATCTGTTGCGAAGGAAGATTACTCAGTATGTCACTATTAGACCAAATGTGCTTTTGTTTGGTCTACAAAGAACAATAGTCCCTTGGAAAATCCAAAGCCTTCCAGCCCTTTGCCAAACATTAAAACTGAGATAATGATTTGTTGCCATTGGGTCAGGCATACGTAGATACATATTTCAGTGAAAAGGCTTTAGATGATCATGATTAGGTTTTCCTCTTGGTGAAGACTGCTAACTATGGAAAGCCTGTGGGAATGTGCGGCGCATCTTCTTCCTTGGTGAGGCTCTTCTCTACCTGATAGCTGAGCAGGGTGCTCAAAGAAGAACAGAATAGGGCTTGTTCTCGTTTTTGTGGGTCGTGCGTTTCTACTTTACTAGACCACATCTGCTTTCCGCCTCGGGAGAGGGTTTGTCTTTCATGGAATGGTCAACTGGGTTTTGTCTTCGTGCTGACAGAATGAGGTAATGCTTCTGAAGCAACCCAGATGCCACCATCTGATCTAACTATATTTGGTTTGCAGAAAGAACTGCTGAAATGTAAACAAGAAGTCAGAAATTTACAGGGGATAAAGGTAAAAAGGAAGATATTTCATTCTTTAAAGTCTCTGTGATTAGTCTGCTGGTGAGTAGTGAGAGTTGGGTTCTAGGAGGATTATTGGGATTTGCTGGGGGCCATTATTATGCTCTGTGCTACTGATCAAGAAAGGGCTGGTGGGCAAGAAGTGAGTCATGTGCAGAATGTCTGTTTTGCTGAGGCTTATGGTATGTCTGTAGTCATGACTCATGGTGCTGCCACTTCTCTTCATGGAGGTGTGACCTCTATATTCTCTCTCTCTTTCTGATCTTTTTAAATTGTAGTTTATTTAGTTTTGGGATAGTTAATAATGATCCACATTTTTACCCACCTGTAAAAAATACTGTAAATATAGCTTGATACTTCTCTTTTTTCTCTTAGCAATATATCTTAGACATCATTCACTTTCATAAAGGCCTCCCTAGATCTTTATATAGCTGCATAATATTCCATACGTATGTATAATAGTGTATTTAATCAGCCTCCTGTTGATAGTATTTTAGGTTCTTTCCAATCTTCTGCTAGTACAGTGATCTAGCTAAGCACCTTGATTATATGTTGCTTCTCCCAAGTAGGATTATGTCTCCTCAATAAATACCTAGAAATAGGAAAGCCATTGCTGTTCTCCTCTTCCCTGAAGATCCATTCATAACAAGCCTAGAGTATAAGTCAGCAATATTTTTCCAAAGTATATTCTATCATAAAAAGGTTGCCTTGAAAACTTTAGAATTATTAGCCACAGAAAAAGCTTTTGTCCCATGTAACTCATTAACATCTCATGGAGTACAAGTTTGAAATAATCCTCTAAAATACTGGTGTCAGGGACATCTTAGACTTCCTTTGTTATGTACTATCTTGGCAGACAGTATAACTAAGAATGGGCTCCCACACTCCCCATTGCTTGCACTATTTCTTTGCAATCAGTGAAGAAAGAAAATTCAGGATAAATGCACTGTAGCCCCAGCCCATAGGTTCTATTTGAAGTCACTATTGTTAGAGAAATAATGTTATAGCTGACCTCCCGTATGTACAGCCTTCCTACCTTTTCTTAGGCATAGTGGGAAACAAGAGGGTCCAAGCTGAGGAAGAGATAGCTTAAAGCTGGTAAGATCCTAGGAAACTGAGAAGAGGTACCATCGGTCCAAAATGCTTCTGAGCAGAAGGAGTATAATCTCAGTCTTGGTCCAACTGTCAGATTTTTTGTAAGGTAGGTGTGGTGCCACTGAGCTAAATCCCTGGCCCTCGCAGCCCTGGTCCAGATGAGGCATTGGAAGCCAATGGCGGCAGGGCAGCAGCATGGCTCTGTAAGCCAGTGTGAGAGTGATTCCAGAGATTCCTCATGAGCAGCACAGGGAGCAGGGATAGGGTCATGCCTCTAGGAAATGGGGACTGGGCACAGAGGTAGAAGGACAAAGAGTTAAACTAGATTAAGGATTTATATGCCCAGATGTAGATGAGAAAGCCAGAGTAGGAGGAAGAAGAGTGTGTCGTCAAAGGTCAGTGTCACAAAAGTAGGAAGTGGTATACTTAAAATTAGAATCTAGGTCTATCTGATCCCAGAGGCCTCTCATGCTTTGTCTAAGCACATTGCTGTCAGGAATGAAGTACAGGGTAGGGATGAATAGTAGGTGGAGGGAAAATCGGGTTTTCCTCAGCTTGATAGGACAATAGGATTTTCCTTTAGTTCCTGTTGTCTTGCGGGAGGACAGAGAAAACCCCTGCTCAGCTCCTGGTGTCAAGATCCTTATACTCCTTTTGTTTCCCAGTTTGCCAGAACAAATGCTACAAACGCGGTAAAGGGTTTAGTAACTTTTAGTAATAACTGGCTGATTTGAGACTGCAATAATTATATGCTTCTTCTCCCAGGATGCCTTGCAGCAGAGATTGACTCAGCAGGACACATCTGTTCTTCAGCTCAAACAAGAACTACTGAGGGCAACTATGGACAAAGATGAGCTGCATAACCAGAATGTGAGTTAAATGTGTGGACTTTAACCTCAAAGAACCCCACTCGCCAAATAGGATGATAAATAAATTCTATTAGATCTGCTGTCCTTATCTCTTTTATCTTGCTTGTGGGATTCCTGCCCTCCGTGTCTGCAATTATTTATATGCTCTATCAGATTCAGTTCCATTTCTAGGTGAAAGCCCATAATTTGCTGGAAAGGAAGGTCCTTAACTCCTTCTACTGTGAGGACACTGAGGCTTAATAATTGTTCTACAGTCCAGTGAGCTTACCAGAGAGATGGATTGCTGCTGTGTGTTTCTATCATAACAGTGCTGTCCCTTTTGTATCCAGTTAAATTACCCACATAACTCCAGTGGTCATGAGGGTTGATGTCCAACACCTCCACGCCAGTGAATCCTTTTTACCTTTGCAGGTGGATCTGCAGAGGAAGCTAGATGAAAGGAACCGGATCTTGGGAGAATATAAAGTAAGAATAAGTACTGATTTAGAAATTACTTCCACGTGACCTTTTATGAACAGCCCAATTGTCACTGTTGCTCCTCTCTTTTTCATCCTTGTTTTTTGGAAAGAAATCTTTTTCTTTTATGTCCCTTGATTCATCATCTCTGAACAATAGATGGCACAGCTGGGAAAAGCAGGGACAGACTAAGGAGTCTGGAAACATCAGTACTAGGTTCAACTAACTAGCATAGATGGCACATAGTAGTCCTCTACAAATAGTAGTTCTTTTCCTCTTTACCCTTCCAAGAATCCTTTGTACCATGTGAGACTATTATGGTTTGTCAGGTCTTCCTGGTATGGTTTTAGGAAGGCCCAACCCTCTGAGGCTCTACTTTACTTGAGTAGAAATTACATTGTAAATGGCAAACTGTTCAGCATCCCTGGTTTTGCTACACATCTGAAAGTTCTGTCTCTGTTGCAGAAGGAGCTGGGGCAGAAGGATCGCCTCCTTCAGCAGCACCAGGCCAAGTTGGAAGAATCACTCCGGAAACTCCCAGATGCCAGTTACCAGAAGGTTGCACCATGCTTAGCCACTGACTTGTGCACCTTTGACCTGAAGAAACTTCCTTCTGATTTAATCTGTGTTTTGTAGGTGGATCTAGAATGGGAGCTAGAACACAAAGATGTCCTTTTGGCTCATTGTATGAAAAGAGAGGCAGATGAGGTAACCTAGAATTTGGGTTCTCTCTTCCACATGATGAGACAAAGAGATAGATTCTGTTTCTCATCCAGAGCTGAACCAAGGCCATAGGCTATGGGAAGCTGTATGTTGAGGAGTACAGGTTCCAGGATAAGAAAATCTGATTTCAAGTTCTAGCTTTACTTTGTCCACGTTGTGTAAACTGAAGATGGCAGTAACGCCAACATAATCCACATAAATAACAACATAGTTTTAGTAGAACACCTGGCAGAGTCAGACACAAAAAAATTAACCATTGTTCATTATGAAGCAAAGCCAGAGGGTGCTAGAGCAGCATTCTGACATCCCCCAGTGGCAGTGACAGGGCTAATCTGGGGGCCCCCAGGCTGAGGTTTTCATTTCATTTCATTCATTCTTTTTTTTTTTTTTTTTTTGGTGCTATTGATTAAATTTGGGATCTTGCACTTGCGAGGCAGCTGGTGGCACCACTGAGCTAAATCCCTGGTCCCATTTCATTCATTCTTCATGCACAATGCATGCTAAGCATCAAGTGCAGCACTGGTATAGCAGTGAACAAAGGGGAACATGTCTGCACCTGTGAAGCTTAAATATATAGCCTGAGCTAAATAGCAAGACCTGGTCTCAAAAAAAAAACAATAGTGGGGGCTGCAGATTTAGCTCAGTGGTTCCACAGCCTGCTTTGCAAGCACAAGGTTCTGAGTTCGATCCGCAATACCCAAAAAAACCCAAAAAATGAGTAGTAGCAGTAGTAGTAGCAGCAATAATAACAATGATGATGATGATGATGATGATGATGATGATGATGATGATGATGATGATGATATAGATATACTATGTCAGGAATTGGTGGAGAGTGTAAAGTAGAAAAATAGTACAGGAAAACTTGGTTCAGAATTTTCCCTTTAACAAGCACATTTCTTCTTGCTACTATAGTTGACCAACTACAACAGTTACAACTCTCAAAGCAATGGCTTTTTCATTCCAACGGCAGGAAAAGGAGCTGCTTCCATCACTCACAGAGGGGTAGGTCCCTAGGATTAGAATGCAGGTCTGCCACTTCTAGCTGAAACCAGAACAGTGCCCTGCCTATCAGCAGTAGACCAGCTTTTTTACATTCCTAGCCCATAATATCCTTCCTCCCTCCCTCACTTCCCCTTCCTTCCTTTCTTTAATCTATCCATATTAGAAATTGAACCCAGGGTCTCTATGGGCTAGGAAAATACTGTATCACTGAGCCCTTTTTAAAATTTTATTTCAAGATTGGGTCTTTCTAAGATGCCAAGTTACCTGACCTTGAACTCAAGATCCTCCTGCCTCAGCCTCCAAAGTAGATGGGATTATAAACATGCATCATTATGTCATGCCCAGCCCCTTAATCTTGCATATGTGAGATGTATGAAGATATGAGGCAAGCTGGGCATGGTGGTGCACACCTGTAAACCCAGTACTTGGGAGGCTGAGGAAAAAGGATCGCTGTGAGTTCAAGGCCAGCCTGGGCCAACCTGAACTGCAAAGTGAGACCCTGTCTCCAAAAAAAAAAAAGATGTGAGGGCAGTAGCCATTTAAAATTAAGAATTATTGGACTAAGCATAGGCCTGTTTCTGAGGAGAAAAATTTTCTCTCACAAAAATAGAAGATGTAAGGCTGGGGATTTGGCTCAGTGGTACAGTACCTGGGTCACCAGTGTAAGGTCCTGCGTTCAATCCCTGGTGCCATTAAAAAAAAAAAAAAAAGAGTAGAAGATGTATCCTAGAAACCTCTCTGCTTTATCTGTGTAAGCCCATTGTGGGGACTTGGCTAACATAGCACTGTGCCATGCCACCAGCACCTTATTTTTGTCCACAGACCAGCGATCTGCAGCTTGTCCGAGATGCCCTGCGAAGCCTTCGCAACAGTTTCAGTGGCCACGACCCTCAGCACCACACCATCGACAGCTTGGAGCAGGGCATCTCCAGCCTCATGGAGCGTCTGTACCTCATGGAGACACAGAAGAAACAGGAAAGAAAGGTCGTTTTCTCACTGTGTTCTCTTGCTCAGCCATGCCTGGTTTTATGAATTTTAATGTAGATGAAGACAGAACTAAAATATATGTAAGATTTTGCTGAAGTTCAGTTGGTTTTCCTCTCAGTGGCTCTGACCTCATAGTATGACAATCCTAGGAAGGAATTCATGGTAACTCTTGCTCTCAGCAGCTGTGTAGCTGCTGAGGGTCTCTGTTTACTACACATTCTTCTCCCCTTTCCCTCAAATGAGCTTGATGTTGAGTGAGAAAGTATATGGAATATGCACTGAAAACTAGAAAGCCCTTTATAAATGTATGTGACTATTGTTAGGATAAATATGTTAAATTTTATGAATTATGGAAGAAGAGTTGGTAGAAATTATACAGTTCAGGTTCCCTTTTATGATTTAAATGTCTTACTTAAGTTCTTTCATCATAACTCTTGTGATTTTTGTGTGGCTCCCCAGGTTCGGAGCAAGTCATCCAGAACTCAGGCAGGTAGTGAATACCGGGAGTCTTGGCCACCTCATTCAAGTAAGTAATGATTATTTCAAGGACTTCTAGCACATTAGACCAGGAATTTAGTGTTTGTCAGGCTACCAATATCTAGGGGATAGCATTTTTCTTGTAGTATTCCCTTGTGTAATGTGTTTCCCCCTTAACAATACTGGAGCTGTGTTAGTTCTGTGACTTGAGGACACATGCCATCAGCCCAAGCATTATTTAGCCATATGCCGGGTGACCCCAATCCAGGGGTTAAATATCTGCAAAATAAAGTTAGAATATTTATGCTGAACAAAGTGAAATATAAAACAAAAACACACATATAGGTGGGTATGATGGTGTATGTCTGTAATCCCAGCTATTCAAGAGGTAGGAGGATTGCAAATTTGGGGCCATCCTGAGCAATTTAGATCCTGTCTAAAAATTTAAAAAAATTAAAAAGGACTGGGGACATTGGTCACCTTTAGTAAATCACCCATAGGTTCAGTTCCTAGTATGTAACACACACAGACACACACATCCACCCACCCACCATCCTATAGTCTCAGATAGCACACCATACCCAAAAAATCCACTTTTTCCTAGAGGCAAGAAGTTTAATTTCTTTAAGTATTTTTCCTCCAAATGTTGAGTGTTAGGTCAGTGTAAGCCCTACAAAATGTTTGCACCATCTAGTGGCCATGGTGAGGCAGTATGTTTTAACCTGTTTCACATCTATTCAGTTTTTTCTCCCCTGTCCATTTTAACTCACTGCAAATCTACCCTGTCTGCCAATGTCTATTGTAGTTTACATCTTACCTTTTGGTTTAATAATGTACACATTTTCTTACTTTTTGCCCAGGCCCAACCTAAAACTATCTAAATAATTTATAAAAATCAAATGTAGGACTGGGGATTTAGCCCAGCAGCACCTCGCCTGCCTCACAAGCTCAAGGTCCCGAGTTTGATCCCTGGTACCAAGAAAAGAAAAAGAAAAAAACCCCAAATATAAAAAGCTGACTAGAACCAGTCTGCAGGGTAATGTATACAATTTTAAAAACCATATTAAAACACAAAACCTGGCCAGACCTGGTGACACATGCTATAATCCCAGCCCTCTAGAAGGCTGAGGCAGGCAGATCATAAGTTTGAGCCCAGCATAGACAATTTAAGAGAGATGATGTCTCAAAATAAAAATTAAAAAAAACTTTTTAGCATTTAATGGGCCTCCCTCAGTGTGGCTTCATACCACAAGGGTACAGCCTCCCCCCCACCAACCTTAATCTCAGCTCTTCTGCTGAATAATTTGGCCTTCATGGTGATGGGCTACTTTGAGGGCTTTGCCTTCCCCTGAACTTTGTTACACTACATCAATGATGGGGGCTGCTCCAGTCTTGTTTCTGGCAGCATTTATTAGCATCTGCTCATGCACCAGTGTCCACATTTATCAAGGCTGACAGCTAGGCAGAAGCTCTGGTTCTTCTGTAATTGAAGGCTCCGAGCAGCCTTCCACAATAAGCTGGGTGCCACAAGTTGAAGTCAATTCTATGGTGAGGTATCTCACCAGCATTACCCCGGCCTCCGAGGTGCTTCTCACGTATATCCATGCAGCCATGGCTCTCATAACCCTGAAGTTTCCAGGTCTTCCTCAGTCTGGATGGCAGGCATGTTGGCGGCTGAGATGAAAGAGGTCAAAATAAAATTTAAAAGATTGAAGATGGAGCTCAGGGCAAGACCTGCATTCAGTCCCCAGCACCACAAAACAATAGCAGCCACTGTCAAGAGCAAAAGTAGGGCAAGGGATTTAGCTCAGTGGTGTGACCACCTTCCTTGCAAGCGCAAGGTCCCTCAATCTCTGGTACAAAAAAAAAAAAAAAAAAGAGCCAAAGTAAACAACAGAACAAAACCCAGATGTGATAAGGATATTGAAACCATCAATATTTCAGGATTGTAAATACTGAAACTATGATGATGCCATGATTGGTGGTGCACACCTATAATCCTACCTCTTGGGAGGCTGGTGCAGGAGAATCACCTGAGTTTGAGGCCAGCTTGGGCTACATAGTCAGACTCAACTCAACCAAAAATAGATAAATAAAATATCTATGGTTACAATGTTAAATGCTATAGCGAAAATGTTGACATGAGTTTTGTACAGATGTGAGGTTTTCAGCCATTATAAGAAGTTAAATAGAAAAGCTAGAGCTGGGTATTTAGCTCAGTGGTTCTACTGCCTGCCTCGCAAAGGCAAGGTCCCAAGTTTAATCCTTAGGACCAAAAAAAAAAAGGAAAAGCTAGAAATAATAATAAAGTTGAAGATTGCCTTCAGCAAACTCCTGAGTAAACTTAACACAGCTAAGGAAAGAATCATCAAACTTGAAGGAGGATAGTAGAAATTACCCAAACTTGAACACAAAGAAAAAAGAGTATGGGACAAGAAACAGAGTCAACATCTACGGGAGGGCCAGAGATGTTACTGGGGGGTGGGGTGGAGTTTGGGTCCAGTGTAAGTGAGGCCCTAGGGTCAAGCCCCAGCACTGGAAGGAGAAAAGAAACTTTGAGGGCAGAAATAGCAGATAGATTAAAATGTGTAAAATTGGAATCCATGAAGAAAAAAAGTAACAACAGGGTAGGAGAAATATTTGAAGACCTAACGGTCAACATTTTTCAAAAAATAGCAAAAGACGTCAAACTATAGAATTAAGCAGCTTGGAGAACCTTAAGAAGGATGAATAATAGCAATATCCACACTGCTGAAAACCAAATAGAACCCTGAAGACAACTAGAGAGGAAAAGCCATTATATGTTTTTAGATTTAAATTATACTTCCGAATAAGGAGTATTTCCATGTATGAAGAGAGATAGCTAGGTATGGTGGTACATGCCTGTAATCCCAGAAGGAGGATGCCAAACTTGAGCTGAGCCTGGCATCTTAACAACTTAGTAAGAACTTATCTCAAAATAAAAAATAAAATGGGCTGGGATGTAACTCTTTGTGAAGGCCCTGGATTCAATCCTCAGTACTGTATCTGGAAGGAAGGGAGAAAGGGAGGGAGGGAAGGAAAGGAAAAATTATGTAATGATAAAAATGGTCATTTTCACCAGGAAGATAATAACAACCCTAAATATGAGTGTCTATAATCAGTTTCAAAATGTGGCAAGGAAAAATGAAAAGAAATAGATAAATCCACAGATACACTCGAAGACTCAGTATTCTTTTTTAACAGTAATCAATAGAACATTAATAAGGATTTAGAAAACCTACACAATGCTATCAAATCAACTTTGTGATTATATTTATTTTTGTAATTTTATTTGTGACTATATTTAGAAAACACTCCATCTAATGATGATAGAAAAAGATTTAAAAAAAATTTTTTTTGGTACCAGGGATTGAACTCGGGTCCTTGGGCTTTCAAGGCAGGCAGCGGAACCACTGAGCTAAATCCCCAACTCTATGAAAAGATTCTTTTCAAGTGTGTTTGCAAAATTCACCAAGATAGTCCATAGTCTAGCCATAGAACAAAACTCAACAAACTTAAAAGAATTAAAATCATACTGAGTGTGTTTTCTGACCATTAAGAATTAAGAATTTGAGATCAATAACAAAAACATCTGGAAAATCTCCAAATATTTGGAAATTGAAGAACACATTTCTTAATGCAATATCCTGTAGGTCAGAGGAATACATAAGAAAATTGAAAAATATTTTAAATTGAATAAAAGGTGAATACATGCTGTGTCAAAATTTATGGGATGCAGCAAAAGCAGTGCTTAGAAGGAAAGTCATAACATGAAATGCATACTTGAGATGGGTAAAAGTCCTCAATCAGTGATCCGAGTGATACAGAAGCATGAAAAATAAAAGAGCACACTAAACCTAAATCAAGTAAAAGCAAGGAAAGATGTAAGAATAGTGTAAATGACGTTGAAAAGAGAAAATCAGGAAAAAGTCAAACTAGAAAATTATTTTTTTTTAAAAAAAGCTAAATAAAATTATTACGTGTAGTAGGATACGGTGGCACACACCTATACTTCAAGCACTCAGGAGGCTGAGGCAGTAGGATCACAGTGAGTTTGAGGTCAGGCTGGGATACATAGTGGTTTCAGAGCCACCCCAAACCACATAGACTGTCTCAAAAAAAAATTGATAAACTTGTTTGTTAGATAGAAAAGAAAAGCCACAAGTTACCAATATTAAAAATGAAAGGAGAGATTTCACAATAGATCTTGTAGACTTAAAAAGCATTAATAAAAGAATATTTTAAACATTATATCCATAAATTTGACAACTTTGATGAAATGAATAAATTTCTTGAAAGATAAAAACCTTGAAAACTTATTCAAGAGGAGATAAACTTAAGAGTTTTATAGTTATGAAGGAAATTGAGTTTTTAGTGTAAAATTTTCCATCAGGATTTTAGGATTTTGTAGTTTAAAACTCTCCTTCAGGACAAGATCAGAACACTTGAAAAATAATACCATTTCTACACAAATTCTCCCATAAAAACAGAAGAGATGATGGATCACTTCCCAGCACATTTTATTTTACCCTGATACCAAAATCAGTGACTCTAGTGATCATAGATACAAACAAAACAAAACAAAACAACCCAACAACAACAAACAGATTGGAAAAGAAGGCACAGAATTACCTGTGATGAGAGATGAAATTATTGTCTACGTAGAAAATCCCAATAAACCTACAGTAAACTACTATAGCTAAGAAGGGAGTTTAGTAAGTTTGCAGAACATAAGATCAACATATAAGGAGTTAATTGTAATTCTATATACGAATATCCCAGCACTAGGGAGGCTGAGGCAGGAGGATTTCTATGAGTTCGAGACCAGCCTGGGCTACATAGTGAGTTCCACGTCAGTCTCAACTACATAGTGAGACCATGTCTCAAAAAACAAAACAAAACAAAAAAGTTCTATATATGAGCAATAAATATTTGGAAATAGAAAAATTATAAAGAAACCAGACTTTTTTTAGATATAAGTAAAGTGATTCTAAAATTTATACAGAGCAGTAAAGGGATTAAAATGAACCCCCCACAGCACACAAATGTTGAAAAAGAGGACCACACCATCTTTCTTTCTTTCTTTCTTTCTTTCTTTCTTTCTTTCTTTCTTTCTTTCTTTCTTTCTTTCTTTCTTTCTTTCTTATTTCATCTCTTTCTTTCTTTTTTGTACTGGGGATTAAACTGGGGGCCTTGTGCTTGCGAGGCAGGTGGCAGAACCACTGAGCTAAATCCCCAGCTTCATCTTATTTTAAAACTTACTAAAGTTTAAAAGTTAATCAAGACAATGTAGTTTTGGCAAAAGGATGGACATATAAATGAGTGAAATACAATTGAATTAAAAATAGAATCAGCCAGGTAAGGTGTCATACACCTAATCTCAGCACTTAGGAGGATGAGGCAGGAAGATCACTGCAAGTTCTGGGACAGCTTAGGCTATAGTGAGAGTTCAAGCCCAACCTGAACAAAGCAAGACCCTGTCTATTCACACATTTGAGATAGGCTCTTCAAAAGTGGTATTAAAATAATTAGAGACCCATCTAAATAAAAAAGTGAGTCCTGACTTGTATATCAGACTATATACAAAATTAACTCTAAATAGATCGTAAATCTAAAGTCTAAAGTGAAATGTTCTTTTCAGTAGTCATCTTAAACTACTTGTACTAGTGTTAATGATGACCTGTTTACCAAGCCGTCTTTCCCCAGTAGGCTTCTGTTTAGAGTTTCACATTGTGACTGTTCTTTCTTTGAAATTCTCAACTGTGCACATAACTTGTATTAGTTTATGCTGCCATAATGAAACATAATAGACTGGGTGGCTTAAACAACAGAAAAAAAATTATTTTCTCCCAGTACTGGAGGCTGGAAGTACAAGATTAGTGTGCCAGTATAGTCAAGTTCTGGTGAGAGACCTTTTCTAGGTTCACAGAAGTCTATCTTCTCTCTCAGTCCTGTGAGGTAGAGAGAGAATTCTGGTTCTCTAGAGTCTCTCTCTTTTTTTCCAGTACTGGGGATTGTAGCCAGGACCTCATATCACATTAAGCTACATTCCCAGCCTTTAAAAATTATTATCATTATCATTGTTTCTTACCCCCCCCCTTCCCACTGGGGATCTAATTCAGGACCTTTGCTTGTGAGGCAGGTGTGGTGCCACTGAGCTAAATCCTTGGCCCCACTGTTGCTATTTTAGGGAATCTCGCTGAGTTGCTCAGGTGGGGTTCAAATTTGTAATCCTTCCACGTCAGTTTTCTGAGTAGCTCATGTTATAGGCATGTACCACTGTACACATCTGAAGCCTCTCTCCCTCCCTCTCTCATCCGTCAGCTTTCTGAGTAGCTGGTGTTTTAGGCATGTGCCACTGTACACATCTGAAGCCTCTTCCTCTTCCCTCTCTCCTCCCCCTTTTAATAGCACTGGGGATTGAACTCAGGGCTGTTGCACTGGACTGTTTCCTCATCCCTTTTTATTCTGAGTCAGTCCAACGAAGTTGCTAAGTTGCCTAGTTTGGCCTGGAATTTGGGATCCTCCAACCTCAGCTTCTCCCAGGATGCTTGGATTAAGGGCATGTGCCTGGTGTCTCTTCTTTGGAGGGAAGCAGCTCTATTGGGCTCCACCCTTAATCACTTAACCTGAATCACTTGCTTCTCTAATACAATCACATGATAGGTTGGGGCATACAATTCAAACCATAGCAACATTACTTTCCTATGTATTTCATTGTATTGTAACTGTTTTTCTATCGCACTTCACTAACCTTGAACTGCTTCAGGATGGAGATTTTATCTAATTTATTTGTGTATCTATAATTCTTGATATATCATAGATACCCAGTAAACATTTTATTTGATTTATATATATTTTTTTCCAGTACTGGGATTGAAATAAGGGCCCTTGCATTGAGCTACATCCCTAGCACCCCCAAAACCACCTTAATTTGGACATGTTCTAGCTAAGTCACTAAGCGGCCCTGTTGCCCAGCATAGGGTAGAACTCGGGATTCTCCTGCCTCAGCCCCTCTGAGAATAATGAAATCACAGGCATATGCCACCACACCTTGCTTTTATTTTTCATTCAGATATTTTAAATAAATAAATAGGTGGCACAATTCATTTCTGTTCCTTTATCTTGGACAATAAATGTTATAAAGTATCTGTCTTTTTAGACTATAAATATCGTCAGCTTTTACTTTTCCCTTTTATCCTCTATGTCCAACTATAGTCTCAAGGCTTTTACTCTAAAGATTTTTCAAATCCAGTCCTTTGGTTCTAGGGCTACATCTTGCCTTTCCTCCTCTCTGTTTGTTTAATTGCCTCAATGAGATTGCTGGCTTCTATAATTTCTTGCATTCAACTCATACTTCACTGCTAGATTAACCTTTCTAAAATGCCAGTCCATTTGAGCATGATTGTACATTCCTGCAATCTTACCTGCTGAAGACAATAAGTCAGGAGGATGCAAATTGAAGGCCAGCCTAGCTCAAAATTTTAAAAGCTGAAAAAGGACTGAAGATGTAGCTTAATGCTCCCTGAGTTGAAGGGATCAATCTCCAGTACCAGGAAGCCAAAAAATGGGGGGGGGGGAGTCTGATTATATCACCCCCCTTTAGTGTCTTCTCATAGTTCAGGACTAATATCTTCATGTCAGCCTGTTAGAGTTTCTTGTTGCCTTACCCGTCTGCATTATTACCCCATAACTTGCTCCAGCTTTACTAGTTTACTTACTGTTTTCTAAATACATTATCCCATTTCATGCTTTTTGCTCATGTTCTTCCCTTTTCTTAGAGTGCCCTTTGTAACTTTTCACTCATGGTGTGTGTGTGTGTGTGGTGTTGGGGTTCAAACCCAGGGCTTGCACATGCTAGATAAGCATTCTACCACTGTTACATCCCCAGATCAATCTTAGGATTCTTTTTTTATACCCAGGGATTGAATTTGGAACCTTGTGTTTGTGAGACAGGTGGTGGCAATCTTACGTTTTTGTTGTTTTTTTTCCTCCTTTAGTTCTTTTATTGGAACATTTTAGGTATATAGTTACATTCATTATTGGCAACATGTACCTTTACATGATGTATCTTGGTTCTTATTTTTTTCCCCATTCCCCTACCCTCCCTTCAACGCCTCCCCCTCTCCCTATTTACAAAGACTTTCCTTTATTTTAATCCTAGGATTTTTAAAGGTGCATTCTAAAAGGATTTTTTGCCCTTGAGGCCTTTCTGGTCTTTTCCAGTTGGAATCAACCTTTCTATCTTCTATCTTCCCTCTATGTGTACCAATCTGATTTTAGTGTATTGTTACTATTTGCAATTGTGCCCACCATCCATATGTGATTATAAACTCTTGGAGATCAGAGACCACATATAGTTTTTTGTTTTTTTTTTTAATTTTCTCAAAATAGCAGCATATAGGTGTTCAGTTACTTTTATTGAATAAATCATTTATATTAATGCAGAAAGTGAGTATGTTCTTTATTCAACAACACTAAGTGCCTGGCACTATGAAAGGTGCTAGGGCAAAGGAAAATCATAGCATGTATGTTGTGATAATTGGCATTCTTTGGAAGAAAAACAAACTGACAGAACCTGATTGCTGTACAAAGGGAAAGTTTGCTTGTCATTCTCCTAGGTCTGTCCCTCATAAGCTTCCGTATTTTATACCTCCTTCTAGAAGTGCTATTCTCTGCCTGCCAATTTGATGAGAAATCCATACCCAGAAGTTGAGAAAAAAATACATGTAGGTGGAATTGCAGGAGAGACTTTAATAAAAGCTTAATTATTGGTTTTTGGTCCTTATGATAAAGTAGTTTGGTCGTTTCTCTTAATTACAAGTTCTCATTAATTAATTACACTTTTACTAAAGTACCTTTTCAAAGGACAGAGACAAATTAGGAACCTGAGTTAAATTAGGAACACTACAGGGCCAAAATTCACAGATCCTGTACAGCTAAGTTAAGGTAGATATTGTGTGTTTTAGACCATAAAGTTAGGCAAGGATCTGAATTTCTAAAGTTCCTTTGCCCCTGTAGTTTGTTCCAGTTCTTTCTCTTTTCATGACTCACATGAGTATTCTCTCCCACTAACCTCCAAATACAAGCAGAAGCATAGGTCCCGCTGTGTGCCTACTCTGCCCCAGCTGACATCGTGCCAGGATTGTCTGTCCTCTTTTGATCTTTAGCAACAATACCGGTCAGATCAGTTGCTGTTCTCCGACAGAAATACCTGGAATCAGTGAGAAATCATGGTCCTTCTGATAATGTCCACGCTCAAACCACCTCTTGTCCATGTGGATCTGGTGGTGATTTCTGTGGATCATGTACTATGGACATGGTGTTTGCTGCTCTGACCTCTGGTGGCTTCATTGTCCTGAGACATTTTTGAATAATTGGAAATGAGTAGTACAATGTAAATCCAATGTTCTAACCATAGAGACTCTCTGATTGCAGAATTGCCTCACTCACAGAGTTCTCCAGCTGTCAGCAGCGCCTGCACTAAAGTGCTGTATTTTACTGACCGGTCACTTACGCCCTTCATGGTTAATATACCAAAGAGGTGAGACGCTGGGATCATTATCTCTTTGTAACAAGGAAAGGAAGGCTGGACATTAGTTCCTGCCCAAATGAGCAGCTGAAAAATCTTTGAAAAGCAGTATGTGTAGTGCAAAAAGCCCAGAAGATAAGAGATTCTAGTTTCTGCTTTGCCACTAACCAGTGGCATTATAAATGATCTAAATACAGAAACAGCTAAGTATGGAAGCAATAATAGTACTTTTCATAACTATGTAAATATGCTCCAAGTTTGGAAAAATAGTTTTTAAGTGTTATAGCTCCTGCTAATGACCATGAATTGCAGCTTGAACTCTCAGACGCTTTACTAATTGATCTTGATGACTGCAAATGATCCCCACAGAGAATTTATGTTTGAAAACCTTTCCCCAAATTATTATTGTAATTTCTTCTAAGGGAAATGGTTTTGAAATAAAGTTGTTTAAATTCTGGAATCAGCCAGTGAGAGAGTTTATAGGATTTTCCAATCCTATATCTACTTATTTGGTCTGGTTTAGAAGACAGCTTCTTAAAGATGGGAGGTAAAAAATGTTATGAGTCTGAGAGAACTATACTATTGAATGAAGAAGGAAATCAAGAGAACTTGCACATTATTTATGGTTGTTCAACAACCATAAACTTGATTTCAGAAAGCTTACATAGTATTTGCAGATAAAAAGAGAAAAGTGATTTGGCTGCTGCTGAAACAATAAATTTTAAATTCTTAGATCACCCAATATGTAACATCATTTTCATTTCCTAGTGGTAACTGGTTTTCCAACCTTTGCAATTTTAGTTTTATCTTCATTACCAGGGTCATTGATTTAATAATGTCATGCATGCTGTTTCTGCTTGTTGACTTTGGCAGGGGCTTGGGTTTAAAGCTAACACCCTATTTTTCTGACCTATTGACACCCTATTTTGGTACTCTCTCTCTGGCAGGTTGGGGGAGGTGACATTGAAGGATTTTAAAGCAGCTATTGATCGGGAAGGGAATCATCGGTATCACTTCAAAGCACTGGATCCTGAGTTTGGCACTGTCAAAGAGGAGGTACAGGACCCATAGGGAGTCTGGGTAGTATTGTTGTTTATTCCTAAACCCCAGAATCTTCTATTCAAGAACTATTATCCAGCAGTGCCTGAGTTCCCTAATAGGGTCTGAAGAGTTTGCTGGAGCCTCTGACTATTGGTCCGTTAGACTAAGAAGGTTGTAAAGTGGCCCAAAATGTTGATAGCTTCTTCATTTCTAGGACTTAATTATTTTGATTAAGAATTTGGAGAGAATAGTTTTATTTTGTTAGGGAAAATAAAAAACCTAAGACAATAAAATAAAGAAACTTAGACTAGCCAAGTCCTAGAAAACTTCCTCTTCCTACTTAAGCAAAACAAACAAGCATAAACATCTGGAAATGTATACTATGTGGTATGGTGGCATAATGAAAACAAGTAACTTCTGGATAGTCATCTATGCTTATTTCCAACTCCTTGTGTATTTTCTTGGCCTGTGCTTCTCTTTTAACCCATTTGCCAAATAATGGATTTAAAAAAATTTTTTGGAAGAGAGTTCTGGTTTCTGATGTATTATATGTGCCTTCTATGGCTACAGAGTGAAAAAAGTTAGAAAAACTAATGTTTTAATACCCTGTCATATTAGTGGTGCAGGAAATGAATGAGTAAATTAAAAGAATTGCATTTGAGAGATAGGTCTTCTTTCCACCCCTTTCTTAACAGTACCAGGAACCAAAAATTTCCCCTTACTCTGCGTTTGCCAGGCAGGCACAGCACCAAGCTAAATTCCCAGCCCTCGCACCTTTCTCATTTTTAAAATGTGTATTCTACTGCTTTCTCCTAAGAAACCCAAAATACTCTGTTTTTCATAATTTATTAATTACAAATCTGCATAAGCAAAGCAGTGTTAGGGATTAAAAAAAACTTTTATAAATGTTGGACTAAGAAATATCTAAAATACTATTTGGAACTTTAGGGACAAAACTGAAGGGACATAGATTATAACCCAAGGGTTTTTTCCACACTTTGTTGTCCTTAATGTCTGAGGCCTTATTTTCATCAGTAGCAGTTGTTTAATGAAACTCCCTGCATTTATCTCTGTTTCTTCATCGTGGCTTTTTTGTTTGTTTACCCAGGTTTTCCATGATGATGATGCCATCCCTGGATGGGAAGGAAAAATTGTAGCCTGGGTGGAAGAAGACCATGGAGAGAATTAACCCTGAGGATTGAAATTTGATTACTCTCTGGCTGCTTCACTCAGTAAAGGGACTAAAACCAGAGTGCCCTAAGAAGTTTTTAAATTGTGCTACCAGTATCAAAGCTTCTCCGAGTGTGAAGGTCATAGGCTAGTCCTGTTTCTGTGCCCAGCATATCTGGTACTTAAAATCCCGATCCAAATGTAGACCATGGGTTCACCTGGAATTCCTTGTCCATGGAAACAGTGTTTTGTTCTACTCTGAGGACAACAAACCGAAGGCCTTAACCAATGGGGATGAATGATCCCGCTCCTGTGGGGCATGGCTGCTATTATCTGGAACCTGGGAATTGGATGCATCACTCCTGTGTGTTACGGTATTAATTTAATTGGCCTCAATGGTTGCACCAATCAGAGTCCCAGCATTTGTACTGACAGACAAGGCAAAGGTACCAACTGTTCTGCTTCTTTGCAGATCCTGCAAACTCAGAATAACTCATGAGGTGGTACCAAAGATGAAAGCTACTCTTCAATAATCATTTGAACTGGACATGGATGATGCTGAATTGTTGATTGGATGGAAAAAGGGCTGCCCATATTGTGCTGTACTATGCTTAAGACCTTGGGCCACTTCTGGTCTTAACTGATTCTGAAGCTTTGTCTTTTAGCCCACAGAAAGTATATTTCATGTACTACTAGATTTTTCTGGGACTCTTTAACATTAGAGCCATTTATTTTTCTTCGAACTGATGACCTCTATGTTTGAAAGGAATTAGGAGTGAAATGATCCTTAAAAATTCAGGCAGGTATGGAAAGGTGCTGCTACCCATATCTTCTTGACTTTGTCTCATGACTTTCTTTAACTCATGGGATCTCCTTTGCAGTTAAAAGGATGGTCCATTAATTCATTGTTTCTTTGTGATTTGTGAGTACTGAGCATGAATTACTGGTCTGCTCCCCATTTTAAGATTAGTTACTTTCTATTATATATTTAGTCTAGGTTGATGTTTTAGAAACCATGGGGCATGGAGCATGAGTTGTGAATGGCAGGGTTAAATGAGGGGAAAGAAACCTAGAATCATTTCTCATGTGCAACACCATCAAGTGTTGAAGCTAAACGTGTTCAACTGCCAGAGATTACTTAAGAACTTGGGTTTTCTCATTCATCCACCCAGCACTACTAACTAATCAGCATATATATATATAATTTCCAAAAGCAGTCTCTGACCACCAACGTACACTGCCAAACAGAGAGGACAGATCAGTTTTAGGTTCTTAATCTATGTGTTCAGTTCATCTCCTCTCTTAAGACACTGAACAGACTACTCTTTGGAATTGAGATAACATCTTATTGTTTTATATGGACATATCTTTTAAAAATAGTTCACATTTGGAGAATTCTTTTATACTCATTTGCTTTTTGTCTGAGAACCATGTCTATTTTTATAACTCAAGTGTAAGTTCTATATACTCTCAACATTCTCTATACCGTCCATTTTCTAGAGAACCCAGTAGCTTTTATACAGTCTTACCAACTCTTGTGGTTTCAGAACAAGCTTTATTTTATGACAAATACACTAATGACAACTAATTTCTCTCCAAATCTACCTGCTATTTTAGTTGTGGGAGTAGTTTTATGTAATCCAGTTGATTGTTCTTGAAGCAGACTGATGGAATTCAAAAGACACCTGATTTCTTTTGTGTAAGTTTACTTGGTATTCTATTGAAGAATAATTTATCATCAGAATAGCTGGGAAAACTTGGGAAAGTCAGCCATAAGCCAGAATAATGCATTAGGAAAGCAAATAGGAGAAAACAATGAATTTTAGGTTTTTCTTTTTTCCTCAAGATGTCTGGAGAAAAATTCTTTATGTCAACCAATTTCTCTGTTGCATGAATTTTGGTGTTTTGCTACAATAGCATGAGGGTTATCAGGGCAAAATTTATTATTGTATTCCCATAAAATTTTTCTTGAATGTCTCTTAAATCAGTTACTCGTCAATTTTCTTTCAGTGAACAGTGTTACCATTATGTAAAGTTTAACTTTTAAGAGAATATTAAATCAAAGAAAAATCTCAGTCCTCTTCCTTGTGTATTATCTTACTCTTTCGGAAAAGGAGTCACCATAGTGCCTCCAAAAGAAGCAGAAGTTGAATTCAGAAGAGAACATGGGATAATTTTTCCCCCTTTAGCTCATTAATCTCAAGTACCATGGGTACTAGCTAATCATCCTTATTTATGTCACTCGGGTAACTCTTGTGTAAATTGTGTTGGTGATCTTCATTCCAGTTTCTAAAGTAAAAGGAACCTTCTCAGCAGTAGGCATTGATTCTGTTGTGAAGTCTCCTACTTGGCTACAGTCTCAGGGGCCTTGAGATTTATTCATACTGTTATTGCTTAGAGGCACTCGTGAGATATTCCACCCTGGTACTTCTGAATTTTTTTTCCTTTAGAAATCTAAAGAACTAGAATATTTAGAGTTCATAAAATGAATCTAACCATGTTAGGTTAACATGACTTTCTCATAAAAACTAGTTTAGTTGGGAGCTTAATTCCTTAACTTTAAATTTAAAGTCTGTTCTTTTCTTGCTCAATTCTCTAAATTATTTGGGATTGGGATACTTTCCAATTTGTACCTAAAGATTTTGGCTAAATAGTTGATAATGGCAATCCTACTTACCATTTTTCATCGTTTTTTTTTTTGATCTGTTGTAAATTAGGGGAAATGTCATTATGTTCTACATGCAATCTAAGAGGACTCTAATACTTAAAAGCATTTAGATCATAATTAAAATTATCATTTTTCCCATAAAATATTGATTGCACACTTGTTTCTGAATTTATGTAAGAGGTATAGCTTGCTTAAAATACATATATATGTAAAGTTATATTTTCTTAGAAACATGGATGTTTGCAACCATTGCTTTCAAAGAGATTATTGTGTATTCTCCGTTTTACAGTATGTTTTCATGAAGACTGTTATACCAGAGGCTTCTGATTATCAAAGTGATAACCAGTTTTAACTGCCTGTATGTACCAGATTTGTGAATTAAAAAAAAAAACATGAATAAAAGGGAGTTTGCAAACTAAATCCCATTAATCATTTTGTGTTTACTGACTGAAATTAACCAATAAAGCCATTTACATTTAGTGAAGGTAAATTTCCTCAAGTGATCTCCTAGGTACCATGTTTACTTAATTGTCTGGAGAGTGGAGAGATATGGGCTGCTTTATTGCTACAGATATTTTACTATTGGTATGTTTAATGTAAGCACAAAATAGGTTATTACTAGCAATGGGGATTGACAAATGTTGCCCTTCTTTTGAAATTATATACAGATGTGCAAACAAGAACCTGAGAGTGTAAACTGTATGGCAAGTCTCTAATTTATAAATATAAACATTGGGACTAGCAGAAGTGCGTGTGCACGTGTGCGCACACATGTGTGTTGCTGCGGACTGAACCCAAGGCTGTATGCATGCCAAGCAGAGTTGTACCACTAAGCTATACCCAGCAGCCACAGTGTGTATTTATTATTTATGAGATGAAGTATTTTATTTATGGGACTCAGGCATGGGCCATCACTCTAGGCCAGAAATGTGTACTAAAAGAAACAGAATTCCCAAATCAATTTGAAAGTCGTCTCTTCAAAACTCAAGTAGGCTTCATTTATCACTTCAATTTAAATGATATATATGTGTCTATATCTAGATATATCTTCAAATCTTTAACCGTAAGTACAATTCGCTTGGCTTCTGATGACATATTTTCAACTATTTGGCTCTTCCACCATTATATTAAATATGTACAAAACAACTCAAAATCTTTCACTACCAGCTAACTTCTCTATGCATCTACTAACTTTTTATCAATGATATTACCCTTCTACTTTAAACTTTCAAGTCTTAAATCTTGCTTTTCCTTTACTTCCTTTATCCAATCTATTTAGGAGAGACTTCATATCTTGTTCTCTCAGGACCTACTTCGCAGACTAAGAATTCTATCTCTAGGGTTGGCTTGCCACCCTTGGTCTAGTTGGGCTGTGCCTTACAATTTAGCTACACCTAAGTCAAAAGTACATTCAAAATGCAAGCTCCACTCTTTGAAAAATCCCAAGCAAGGTTTAAGTAAGCCCACCCCAGTGAACAGCAAAAGTGCAGATCACCTCATAGTTTCAAACAGGCTAATTGAGATGCAACTGTTGAATTCAAATGCAGTGGAAATATTGTGATAAGATTTTAGTCAATTCAAAATAGTTAAAACCTTTTTATAATCACTTATGAAAGTTAGTGTAAGCCTTTTCACTAAGCACAATTATTTCAATGCTTCTCCCAAAGGTTACTCATATGTAAAGTTCTACATAATTGCTTCTCTTTAATTCAAATATGTTTTTTGTTTGTTTGTTTTTGTGTTTTGAGACAGGGTCTCACTCTGTAGTTGAGACTGACCAGGAACTCACTATGTGGCCCAGGCTGGTCTCCAACTCACAATGATCCTCCTGCCTCAGCCTCCCCAAGTGCTGGGATTACAGGCGTGTACCACCATGCCTGGCCTCAAATATCCTTTTTTCATTTAATCTGGAAATTTTATATTTCTTGATCATACTGTCTACTGTTATTTTTAGGCAGTGGTGCCGGCTTGAACATTTCCAATTTAATTAGGTATGAACTTGGTAATATCTCCCGGCTCTTTTAATTTTCCAAGTTAATTACCAGCAAGGGTGAATAAGTTTTCAAATGTTAAGTTCTCCCCCTCTTTTTCTTCTGTTCTTGGTGCTCTGTGGCACTGTACACTGGAGACTTTTGATTGTGTAAAAGCAGCAAAGGTTTCCTCCTAATCCAATTTCACCTTCAGCTCAGAAATAACATTTTCTAATTATAAGATGATAAATTTACAGAAGTGTACTACTGGACACTGTGTTTTTGTTTAGTTCAAAAGACATGTACTCAGTTACTCCTATTTGTACTACACTCCAGAGACATTGAAAAACAGTGCAACGTGCTTGCTGCCTCCACTAGTTTATAGTTTAGTTTTGGTACAGAAATAGTCATGAACAGCTGGGAGTGGTGGCGCACGCCTGTAATCCCAGCACTCCAGAGGATAAGGCAGCAGGATTTTGGGGAGTTTCAGGCCAGCCCAGACTACATAGTACAAAAAACTGTCTTACATTAAAACAAAGAGGGTCATTACCCACACAATGATGTTCTGATAATGACCTACGGAATATAAGGCCTAGGGAACCTAGGGCCAGGGATTTACATCAGTGGCACCACCACGCCTGCCTCACAAACGCAAGGTCCTGAGTTCAATCCCCGGTACCCACCCCCCAAAGATTATATGACCTAGAGACATCTAACCACCGTAGTTTGTGTTGTGCAACCTGATGGTCATACAAAAAGTGGCGTTAACAGTACATTTCTCCTGACAGCGCTGTATCTTTTTTAAAAAACGGCTATTTAAAGGGATTCTAGGGGATAGCAAATCAGTTTTGCAAATGTGTATCTTAATACACAGAACTGCCTTTACTCCTGCTACAGTACACCTGAATGGGACAATGTACTTTTCCTCTTGGCTGTCCTTCACATTATCTGAATGGAAAACTTGCTACTCCCCTTCCCGGTGGAGCTGCACACTTGAATCTTTGTGTCGTAGGACAGCTCGAGCAGGATGGGGCCCCAAACCCGGTCACTTTCGGATCCGCAGAGCACTTTACCGGAACCCTCCGATCGCCCGCGGGCGGTTCCTCGCCAGTTTCGTGGGGCGCCGCTCCAAAGCCACGCCCCTTGGCCGAAAGCGCCCGCGGTCCGGTCTGTCTTCCGGCTCATTTCCCAGCTTTTTCTCAAAACAAGGCCACTCGCTTCGGCCCAGCCTGAGTATAACACCTCTTATCAGCCCGGCGCTCTCCGCTGTTTTACGTCCCTGCCTTTCGGCTACGTCTCTCACGACTCAGGCGCCGTCCTAATTTGTAGGATGCCTCTTCTAGGACAATGCTCTACCCCACTCCTTGCCTCACGTCTCCCAAACTTTGCTTCTGCGGTAGCTGCTCTGGAACGCCCCTTCCCCCAGGGCTTCTAGCATTGGGTCCAATCCGCTTCGGGACGCTCGCTAAGACCCGGCTCGCGGCAGAAGCAGAGCCTAGAAGCCGCGCGCTCCGAGCCTAGGTAGAGGTGGCGTGAGTGCTCGGCGCCGGTTTTACGACAACGTGCGGCTGCGCGGAGCGGCTGACGGCAAAGCCGCGCTGCTCCTGGAGAGGTCACTCCGGAGACGGCGGAGATTTAGGGGAGTGGGACTCAGTTGCGCTATGTGGCGTGTCTGTGCGCGACGGGCCCAGCGTGCAGCCCCGGGGACAGGACTCAGGGCTCGGTGGACGGCCTTGCGAGAGGGGCCCGGAGCTCCGTGTGTGAGCCTCCGGGCTGGCCGCGCCCCGGCTCGTTCCAACAGCACGACCATCCCAGGCTATGGCGGGGTCCGGGCTCTGTGCGGCTGGAGTACCAGCTCTGGCGCCACTCCACGGAACCGCTTACTGCAGCAGCTTTTGGGATCTCCCGGCCGCCGCTGTTACAGTCTCCCTCCTCATCAGAAGGTGAGCTCTCCACCCCGAGACCCGGTTGTCCTTCAGGGCCGACTTGGCCTTGGGAATCCGCCTGCCGAGGTATCAGTGATCTTCCAACTCCTTCCGCTGTCTGTCATCGCCCCTGTCCAGTGCCTAGCTTTGCTGCAGTTCGTGAGCTTCCTTTCCGTTCGTGATCTATTCCATTGAAAGAAGAGCTCCAACGTGGGGCTGTGTGCAGAACGTCTGCTGAGGTTCGTACTTTGTCAGACTCACAGCACTGTAGAGAAGGATGTCTGCCACTTTAAATCCTGAACTGCTGGGCAACAGCTCCCTTTGTATCCCCGGTGCCTGGTGTGTAAGGGCACTCAGTAAACGGCAGCGTATTGAATTGAGTGAAAGTTTAAACCAGACTGAGTTAAGTAGTTTAAATAAATTTAGTGCTTTTCCCTTTTGTCTTTCAGGTACCGTTACCTTCTCTTTCCCCCACGATGCAGGCAGGCACCATAGCCCGTTGGGAAAAAAAAGAAGGGGAAAAAATTAATGAGGGTGATCTAATTGCAGAGGTGAGTTTTAACTTGCGGAGCTGTGTTCTGAGGGCTAGCTTTGCTTAACAGACTGGGTTTTCTGATTGGCTAGTTATTCTCTTTACTTAAGAAACAGATATTTTCACAATTTGATATTAGAGGTGATTTGTTAGGTAAGTTGTTGGGCAGCTGGCCGGATGGCTTTTTACCCAAGATTTTTTTTAGTAACTCCTTTCAAATCTATGACTTTTTATCTTCACATGGTCATGAGCTGTATAATTTTTAGACATGTGCTAGTAAACTGCATACTGGCAACGCAAACCTACACTACTACTTTGTGTTAAAAGGTTGAAACTGATAAAGCCACAGTTGGATTTGAGAGCGTAGAGGAGTGTTATATGGCAAAGATACTTGTTGCTGAAGGTACCAGAGATGTTCCAGTTGGAGCCATCATCTGTATCACAGTTGGAAAGTAAGTAGAATCTCTGTTATTTGTGGGAGTTCAGTGCTTATCAGAATTAATTAAGAATTGAGAACCACGTGTGGTGGCGCCCACCTGTGATCTCAGCATTTGGGAGGCTGAGACAGAAGGATCACTGCAAGTTTGAGGCCAGCCTGGACTACATAGTGAGTTCAAAGGCCATCCTGAACTACAAGGTGAAACTGTCTCAAAAAAATTTTTTTTTTGAGAAATTAGAAGTTAAGGACTGTTGGAGTCACCTGTGATAACTGAATCTGCTTTGTAAATTCCTTTATATTTGTGCATTCTTTCCTTTTTTAGGCCTGAGGATATTGAGGCTTTTAAGAACTATACATTGGATTCCACTGCAGCACCCACCCCACAAGCAGCCCCAGCACCAACTGTCGCCCCCACTACTGCTGCTTCAACACCTGTACCTTCTTCTGCTCAGGCTCCTGGTAGCTCATATCCTACTCACATGCAGGTGAGGCTTAATTTCTGAGTGTTTGATTTAGTTCACTGATGGTGAAGGCTTTTATAGACTAAGTGCCCAAACTGCTGCAACCCAAAACTGACTTATCACAAAGTGCCAGCACGGCAGTTAAACCTGAAGACTGAGGTTTTAGTTTTTTTTTTAAAGAAAAGACTCATACATCTTTTATCTTTTTTGTTTGTTTTTTGTTTTTTGGTACCAGGGATCAAACTCAGAACCTTGAGCTTGCTAGGCAGGCGGCTGAACCACTGAGCTAAATCCCTGGCCCTGGCATCTTTTGTCTTAAAAGCAATATACAATCACACACGTGCCATAGTTCACCACCACTGATCTAGTTGATTTTTTATTTGTATATTTTTCATATATTTGTATATATATATTTTTTCAGCTTTAATTGAGTTTATTGGTACATTTTAGGGATACAGTACAGTTACATTCATTGTTGGGATCTTGTACCTCTACAAGACAAGTCTTTATTTGTATATTTTTCATTAGCTTTTGCATCCTGGAAATTGGCATTGAATGTGGCTAGCTCTTGTCATTTAGGATAACATATTTAACCATGAAAATTGACAGCTTTTATTCTTAGTTGTTATTTTTAGGTATGTGAAATTACATAATTTCTTTAATCTTTCTCGGCCTCAGTATTGAATAGAGAACAATGCTTGATGCTTCTCACTAAAAATATGAACATTACAGATTTTGAGAATGATTTTTACTTGCAACTTCTCCCTGTGCACATAGTTTATAGTAAATCTCAGGTGCTAACTGTTCCGTGAAAGTCCCCAGTTAGTGTTTTCCTTTAGTGGTCTGTTTTCCAAAAGTGGGTAAAATACTCAAAGAGTAGTATTTATAAATGAGAAAACTGGCAATAAAGAGTTAAGTGTGAAAAAAAAGAGTAAGTGTGGACTAGATATATAAAATAATATAACAAAGCTGAAGACTGAAATGTAATCTCTGTTGATTCTGCTAACTTAGGTCATTTTCTAGGAAATTAAAACAGTATGTTAGATTGTAGGGTTATATGTGTTTGTGTTTTTGATGTTGGAAGTAGATAAAAACCTTATCATACTTTTTCTAAAGGATTAATACTTTCCATAATGGTGTATTTGTAGGAAAATTTTCGTAGAAATCATTTTCTTTGGCAGTAATATTTCTCTCATGGTCTGTTAGTAACATTTATGTTAGTAATCACTTATGATGAAATTTTGCTTGGTGTTCAAGTCACAGTTATTTAATTTCATTCAGCAAATTATGTCGTAGTAAGAAAGAACCTCTTAGCTGGGTGTGGTGGTGCACACCTGTAATCCCAGCACTCGGGAGGCTGAGGCAGGAGGATCACTGTGAGTTCGAGACCAGCCTGGGCTACATAGTGAGACCCTGTCTCAAAAAAAATTAACAAAAAAAAACCTCTTATGGCTTTGTGTGCAGATATTAGGGTTGTGCCTTCATTATCCTTTAGGATATTATATAGAGATTATTGGCCCCACTAATTCTTAAGAAGATGAAGACTGCAAATTCTGAACAAGGAAAACTTTTTTCTTCAGTACTAGGATTGAACTCAGGAACTCAGGACCTTTGGCATTGAGCTACATCCCTGGCCCCCTTTTTATTTTTATTTTGAGACAGGATCCTGTGAAGTCACACAGTTGCCCAGACTGGGCTTAAATTTGTGATCCTCCTGCTTCCGTGTCCTAGAATGCTGGGAATACTGGTGTGCACCTCCATGCCCAGCTGAGAAAAGCATTTTAAAAGTATTTTGTCTTATTTTGCTTTTTTCACCTTTCTGGAGATATTATTTTTCCTTCAGGATAAAGCTCTTGCTAATTAGATACAAAAGACTGTAGGCATCAGATGAAGTCCATAAGTGAAAAACCATCCAAATTTAGTGGACACATAAATTGTATCAATAGGAAAACAATTTTAAGTGTATATCAGCCAATCTGATGTTTCCGTTTTGTTGGAATAGAAATGGCTATTATAAGAACAATTTTGGGGGGCCTGAGGGTTTAGCTCATTGGTAAATTAGCTCATTGCTTCACATTTCTAGCACCTGGGTTCAATTTCTAGCACCAAAAAAAGTTATTTTTTACATTTTAATTCTTAAAACAATTTGAGTACATAAAAGTTCTATAAACTTATCATTATAGTGTTACTTTGAAGTATGTATACATTGTGGAATGGCTACATTTAATTAATATACCACCTTACTTTTTTTTATAGTGAGAACACTTAACCTATTCTGTTAGTAATTTTCAGGAATATAATATGTCTTTACTAACTGTACTCACCGAAGATAGTTTTTTTTTGGTACTGGGATGGAACTCAGGACCTTGCATTTGTAAGGCAGGCAGCAGCATTACTGAACTAAATCCCCAGCCTTCACCAAAGATAGTTCTTAGTGCTAGTTTATATTTGGGAAATTTGGAATAAATGTGGTTTCTTGTGGACAAAAAGATAAATAGATGATAAATATAGAGCATAGCAAAATTTTAAGAGTGACCTGGAGCAAAATCATTCTGTGAAAATGACAAATTGTGATCTTAACCTAAGTGTTTAAAAAAGATGAAAACATGCTTTGTGTTTAGGTATATATTGAAGAATTAATTCTGACTGAAGTCTTTCCCATTTTCTTGTTGCTTTTGACTTTGGAAAGACTATCAGAATATGTTACAGTTTAAGTATAAAGCTTAAGCTCTGAAGGATTTAATTGATAGGAAGCTATTGAGATACTTTGCTTTTGCTGTGATGGGCATTTGACTTGTCACAGTCACTGTCACTCCATGAAACTGTAGGCTTGCCTGAGTACTTTTATGTCTGGTGCTTCCAAGTTCTATGCAGTAATATGTATTTGTTTCTATAGGTACTTCTTCCTGCCCTCTCTCCTACCATGACCATGGGCACAGTTCAGAGATGGGAAAAAAAAGTAGGAGAGAAGCTAAGCGAAGGAGACTTATTGGCAGAGATAGAGACTGACAAAGCCACTATAGGTGAGATTTCTTCAGCTCTTAATGGTTGTGGCACTGAGTTTTCCAGTGAGGAGAAAGATTGCCATTCTCTGATCAGTGAGGGGCAGTTTTACAGTTCTTAGAATTAATTTCCCAGAGCAAGATATTTTATGGCAAAAATGTGTATAATTGGGTTTGGGCCAGAGTTTGCTTTATAGCTTTATTTTCATGTTACTGAGAAGCTATACCAGAACCACTGTCATGTAAACTGGGCAAAAGAAAGGAAAGAAGGAAGAAAGAGGAGAAAATCATCTCCAAGTCAGGAAAATACCAAGGAATTTAAGATGGCTTTGGTTTTGTTTTATTTTGTTTTGTTTTGTTTTGAGAGAAGATCTCACTACATAGTTCAGGCTGACCTTGAACTCACAGTGTAGCCCAGTCTGGCCTTGAAATCTCAGCGAGCCTCCTGTCTCAGCCTTTCATGTGCTGGGATTACAGTTGTGCACTACCATGCCTGGCAATCTGCAGATACCCAGGTACTTTCTACAGAGTGGCACAGTATGTGGATATAATCTCTGTACACCTTTCTGCATGTTTTTGTTTGTTGAATTTTTGTATTTTTGGTGCTGGAAATCAAACTCAAGCCCCTGTGTGAGCTGAATAAGACTTCTTTGACCTACAGCCCTAACCCCTACTTTACATAATTTGTATACTTTAAGTAATTTCGTTTTTTTTTTTTTTTTTTTTTTTTTTTTTTTTTTTTTTTTTTTTTTTGGTACTAGGGATCGAACTTGTGACCTCAGGCTTGCAAGGCAGGCAGCAGAACCACTGAGCTAAATCCCCAGCCCCTACTTTAAGTAATTTCTGGGTTACTTATAATAACTAATACAGCATCAATGTTGTATAAATTGTTGTTATACTATATTGTTTAGGAAATAATAAAAAGAGAAAAAGTCTATAGGTATTCAGCATAGATGCAGTCATCATAGACCTAATTATGTATTATGTGTCAGCAACAACGCAGTAATTTATTTTTCTTTTCTTTTCATTTCATTCCTTTTTTTTTTGGTACCAGGGATCAAACTTGGGACCTTGTGCTTGCCAAGCAGGTGGTGGAACCACTGAGCTAAATCCCTGGCCCAACAGTGTAGTTTCTTTTTTTCTTTTCTTTTTAGTTTTTTTGAGACAGGGTCTCACTATGTAGTTGGACCTGACCTGGAACTGTGTAGCCCAGGCTAGTCTTGAACTCACAGTGATCCTCCTGCTTCAGCCTCCCGAGTGCATGTGCCACCATGCCTGGTTTAACAGTGTAGTATTCTTGAACTACAGTTGTTTGAATCCAAGGATGTGGGACCTGTGGATAGGGAGGGCTGACTGTACTATAATAATTCCTATTCTTTCCTTTGGTACTGAGGATTGAATTCAGGACCTTATAAGAACTGTGCTACTTAATCCCTGGTACTTTTTTTTTTTTTTGGTACCTGGGATCGAACTCTGGACCGTGTGCTTATGAGGCAGGTGGCGGCACCACTGAGCTGAGCTAAATTCCTGGCCCACCCTGGTGCTTTTTTATTGTTTATTTTCAGACAAAGTTTCACTAAGTTGCTGACTTGCCCAGTCTGGGCTTGATCTTGTGATCCCTCTTCCTCAGCCTCCAGGGGTGCTGGTATTACAGGTGTGCACCACCACACCTAGCCATAAAGAGGTTAAATAGCTTGCAGGGAAGCTGTATAATTAGTTTGATAAAAGTCTTTTTCTTAAAACTATGCTATGGGTTTGTATGGATAATGGAGTCTTAAATTCCATAGTGTTTTTTTCTTTCTGTTTAAGGTTTTGAAGTGCAGGAAGAAGGTTATCTGGCAAAAATCCTGGTGCCTGAAGGCACAAGAGACGTCCCTCTAGGGACCCCACTTTGCATCATTGTAGAAAAAGAGGCTGATATAGCAGCATTTGCTGATTATAGGCCAACTGAAGTAACTGATTTAAAACCACAAGCACCACCACCTACCCAACCCCTGGTAGGTATGCTTCTAGTCAAGAGAACATTTATTCTGTTCATCTCTAAATTAAAGGAATTAGGCTCCTTTCAGCTCCAAGATCTGATGAATAAAGAAGAAGATAGTGCATAAATAAACATCTGGGGAAACGTGGAGTATGTTGTGTTGCATTGTACCGTCATCTAATGGTCAATGGTTTGACCCTTGTAGCTATTTTCCCTCTGCTGTCTTGAGTCTTGTTGAGAACAAAGCTGAAGTACCATGTTTCTGCTTTGGGTGTAAATAGCATGTTTATGGAAGGTGGTAGGGCTTTGTTCCTCGTTTTGTCAACTTTGTAAACTCTGTCATGTTTAGTCTTTATACATGATACACAATATTTATACATGATAGCAGGCTAAGGATATGTTTGCAGTACATTGAAACCTTGACATGATGTGACTCATTTTCCACAGAATTTATTATACTTTGTATTGTACACTATATACCTGTAACGTCAACATGTATTAACTTCAAGCATAGCTAACATTTGTAATGAACTTCTGCAGATACTGAAATCATGTGAATTTAGACATTTAGACTTGATTTCTGACTGCCCTATATTCATGGGGAGCTGACAAGTGGTAGTACTGGTTTGTTTGAGATACTTTTTGTTGTTGTTGTTGTTGTTGTTTTTGTTTTTTGAGACAGGGTCTCACTATGTAGTTGAGACTTACCTGGATCTCACTATGTAGCCCAGGCTGGTCTTGAACTCACAGCGATCTTCCTGCCTCAGCCTCCCAGAGTGCTGGGATTACAGGCATGTGCCACCACGCCCGGCCGAGATACTTTTAATATGAACCATATTGCATAATTTTGTATTTTGAAGTTAGATTAAGTAAATACAAAAACCATGTTGGTAATGGACTTAATGAGAAAGTGGCAAGAGATTAAAGTTAAGAAAAGATATAAGGATCTTATATACAAGTCAGCAGTATTAAATTCCCCACCTTTCCTTGTTATCACAGAGTAAGATGAGCTTGTTTTGTCTTTTTTTTTTTTTTGTGGTACCGGGGATTGAACTCTGGTCCTTGCGCTTGCAAGGCAGGCCACCGAACTGCTGAGCTAAATTCCCGGCCCCACCTTTTTTTTTTGTTTTGTTTTGTCTTTGATGTAAAGAATTCTTCCTATTCATGTAGCTATATGATGTTAAAGAGGGAAAAAGTGCGTATGCCCTTTGTATATGAAAATGAGTATTATTTAAGATAGCTTTGAACTTCATAAAATCTAAACTCTTAATCTTTCAGACCAGTCTGAACAGTTATGAATTATTGATTTGTAACTTTTTTCAAAAGGTGGCAACTGTTCCTCCAACTCCCCAACCTGTAACTCCTATGCCCTCCGGCACTCCTGCTGCACTGGCTACTCCAGTTGGACCTAGGGGAAGGGTGTTTGTTAGTCCTCTTGCAAAGAAGTTGGCTGCAGAGAAAGGGATAGACCTTACACAAGTAAAAGGTAAGTCTCTTTCCATGGAATAAGGTTGCAAAGTTAAAATTTAGTTTATATCTGTTGAATTTAGATATGACCATTTACTGCATAGTCCATTTATTGGATAGTCTGCAATACTGACTACTAAAGAGGTGAATGGAAAATCTCATGGTTCTTACCGTGGAAGCAGAGTTAGGTGATTCATTTGTTTTTTTTGTTGTTGTTGTGTTTTTTTTTTTTTTTTTTTTTTTTTTTTTTGAGACAGGTCTCACTATGTAGTTGAGACTGAACTAGAACTCACTGTGTAGCCCAGGTTGGTCTCAAACACACAATGATCCTCCTGCCTCAGCCTCAGGAGTGCTGGGATTACAGGCGTGCACCATCACGCCCAGCGATTCATTTGTTATTTAAACAAGTATTTTTTATGCACAGACAGTAATCTTATAAGTTGGATGAGAGTTCATTTTCAGTTGCTTATGTGACAAATAGTAATGAATTAAATGAACAAGCTGGGCATAGTATTATGTGCCTCTACTCCATGCACTCTAGGAGGCTGAGGCAGGAGGATCCCAAGTTCAAGCCCACCCTGGGTAATTTAGCAATGTAGTGAGACCCTGTCTCCAAAAAAAAAAAAAAGGAGGGGGGAATGTTCAATATGAAAGCCCTGGGTTTCTGGGTTCAATCCTTGGTACCACCATTTTAAAAAAAGGAACAAAATATATCATAGTAGTGTGCTCTGGAGCAAGAATGGTTAGGTTTAAATGTCAGCTCTGTTTTATACTGTGTGACCTTTTGCATCTTAGTTTCATCATTTGTGTATAAAAATAATAATAAATTGTGAGGATTAAATAAATAGTACCCATGCAGAGAAAGAATATCTAGGTATTAGCCATCAGTGTAATACTTTTTTTATTATTAAATAAGATAATTAAGTGCAAAGAAAGAAGTAATCATGGTGATAAACAAGTGAGTAACAGGTATAGGTGTGTAGTCATGACTGCACATGACTGCACATGACTGCACATTTTTTTGGTACCAGGGATCGAACTCGGGCCCTTGTGCTTGCGAGGCAGGCACCAGAACCACTGAGCTAAATCCCTGGCCCTCAGGACTACTTTTTAAATTTTTTTAAGTTGTGACTGTTTTTAGTTGGGAGAGACTTCTGATAAAGTGTCATGTGATCTGATCTGAAAGATGAGAAGTCAGCTGTATGAGCCAGCCACAATTTAAAGTATAGTAGGGAACCAGGAAATCACTGTAAGACTTAGGCAAGGAAGTGGTTTTTATTTGTTTGTGATTTTGGTTTTGTTTTGTTTTGGGTTTTTTTGGTGTTACTGAGGATTACACCAGGTGCTTTATATTGAGCTACATCCCCAGCCTTTTTTTATTTTTTATTTTGAGACAGGATCTCATTAAGTTGTCCAGGCTGATTGAACTTGTAATCTTCCTGCATTAGCCTTCCAGAGTGCTGGGATTACAGGTGTGTACCACTGCACCCAGTTTAATGATGCACATTTTTAAAAGCTCATTTTATTTTCTCCAAGGAAATGGATTAAATGAAAACCAAGACACTTGCTAAGATGCTGTGGCTGGAACTGCTATTGATGGTTCAGACAATGTGATGAAAATAGAAATGTATAAAAAAAGGATACATTAACATGTTTTTTACCTAAAATTTATAGGCTTTGGTCAGAGATTAAATATAGGGACTTGACAGCAGTAATTTCAAAAGGTGGAGTGGAACTCAGTCTGGATAGGTGGAAAGTAGGTGAAGAAGTGGAGATAACATTGAAGAATATTTGCTCTGAAGAAAGGCATAGAAGTAAAGGTATAGCTTTAAAGGAATGTAGACTCAAGAGGGCCTTAGAAGATGAGAGATAGTAGAATGACTCTAGAACAGAGTTTCTGAGCTGGCACTGTTGATATTTTGGCCAGAAATTCTTTGTTGTGAGAGAAGTGTTCTGTCTATAGTAAAGTGTTAATGTAATTCTTGGCCCCTATGTAGTATAGGGTTGCAGCAAATGCTGTCTTTAGCCATTGCCAGGTATCCATTGCTGTGCAAAAATGAGAATCTGTGGTCTAATAGAAAATGATCAGTGGAAGACACAGAAGGGGATTATGTAGCAGGGTGATTTGGCAAGGAACCAAGTTCTTGAGAATACAAGAAAGAATAGGATTAGCCTTTATAAGAGTTGAGGACATTTTATCTGTCTTTATAGGAGCAAAGAGAATGTAGGATGAGGGGTTTATCAATTTAGTGGTACAATATAAGGAGGACTCCTTTGGGTGCAACTGTTTGATTAATAAAATATGAAGTGAAGGTATCAGGTAGAGAGTGAGTCTGGGGAATGTTGAGATGGGAGAGATCATAAAGCAGTCTTCTCAGAGATTGGGGAGGTGAATTTAAAGGAAATAACTTATGTACAATTTTTTGTGTCCATTTTAGGTTTGTGGTTCTAAACTTATAGAACAGTCAGCCAGCTCCGTACTTTTTTTCCCTAGCAACATTAAACTACTCTGGAGCTGGCACTGAGAAGGCAATAATGGTGTTAGTGTTTTGGAAGAGAGTGATTATAGCAGTAACCCATATAGAGTGTAAGTGGGGTTAGAAGGAAAATGAAGGTGACAGGAAGGTCCTGGATAACGAAAGTAGAGTCAGTGGAGTCTTGATGAGGTCAGAGAGATTTTGCAGTGGGAGAAGGGAGCAGTCTAGGCTAAGTGAGCTCAAACAGTTATTGTGTGGTGTTCTCTGACACTATGTTTGATTTTTTTTTCCTTATAACCTTCAATTCTCTGACACCAAGTGGGTATTCCTCTATTTGATCCAATTTTAATATTGTCTATCTTCCACTTGCAAAGGCATGGGTGCCACCTGTATGTCTAACTCATTTTCTGTACTCGGGCTCTCAAGACCCTGTCTTTTGGTTTAATAAGTTGCTAGAATGACTTACAGAACCTGGGAAAGGACTTTCTACTATTATTGGTTTATAAAGGATAACATTCAGAAAGCCAAATGGAAAAGATGTACGGGGAAGATGTGATAGGGAGGGGTACACAGGGCTTCTGTGCCATCTCTGGGCATACTAACCTCGTCAGTACTTTGATGTGTTCACCAACCTGGAAGCTCTCCTAATCTCAGTTTAAGAATTTTTATTTTCATAGATACATCATTACAAAGACATAGTTGACTAAACCATTTGTCATTAGTCATTGTATTAAGTTTCCAGTCTTCTTCCTCTTCTAGCAAGTGGAACAGAGTCAAGGAAGGAGATGGGAAGAGAGGAGGGAGGGGGACTGAAAGTTATCACCCTTTAATCATGTATGTGATCTTTCTGCTAAATATTCCCTATCTTGGTAGCTATCTGTGAGCTCTACTCTGAATGACCTATTAGCGTAAACTCTGGTGTGGTGTGAAGAGACTTGTGAATAACAATACTTATCATTCAGGTGGTGCCAAAGGTTTTTGGAGTTCATGCCAGGAACCTGAAACAAAGACCAATTTTTCCCCTTTGTGGTAGCTGGATGTTGAGTCTAGTAAGTGGTGAGCTACATCTCCAGCTTTTTTTGTGGGGGAAGTCAAGGTCTCACCAAATTGCGTGGGCTGGCCTTGAACTTGGTGATTTTACTGCCATTTGTGTGAGTGGGGGGGGTATGGGGATCAAACTCAGGAACTTGGGCTTACAAGGCAGTGTGGCACCACTGAGCTAAATCTCGTCCAGCCTGAGCCTTCCAGGTTTGTGCCACCATACTTGTCTAGGACCAAATACATTTTTTGTTATACCACAGGGATGGCAATTGGGAATTTCAGGTTTCATAAATATTTAAGTACAAGTTTGACCTGAGAAGTTGGGCTCCTGTGGGTAGGAGGGAAAAGTTGGAGCTGAGTAGGTGAAAAAATTTAGAAGTCTGTGTATTGGATAGATTGTGGTTCTCAAGATGACGAAGGTCAGGATGCATATTAATTGAATGAATGGGAGTCATTATGAATTGGTGGATGAGAACTGGCCAGATGTGTGAACTTCTAAGGGAACTCTGAGGTTTTTGAGAGGAGGAGGAAGATTTGGAGATGGAATAGAGAAAACAAGAGGTGACATTTAGCCTACATTTCAACTCTGGGCAACTTTGGACAACTTGAGTTAAGAAAGAGAGAAAAAATAACTCCAGGAAGGGAAAAGTTCAATAGAGGGACAGATTGCTTAGCATATTTGACCAGAATATGACTTAGGGATATACTGCATTAAGGCCTAACCCCTGATAGTCAGACTACCCATATTTCCTCTTTCTCTGGTGCAAAGCATTGTTCATGTCAGTATCCCACTTTGTTTCTACCACATTCTTGTGAGCAGGGGCTGGTATTATAAGCATCCTGCCCATGAGGATGAAGACCACATGAGACTAAGTGATTGTAGTTAATCTGTCTTATTTATATTCTTATCCATCTTATTTGTGTGTAGCAAGAGCCCTACAAATTGTATTGCTAGTTTGGTGGTGTTCTCTTTATGCCACATTGCTTTATGATTTCCTGTTATGCCTTCTTAGGGTGATAGATTAAAATTAGGTTTTAGTGGGCCAGGGATTTAACTGAGTGGTTCTGGTACCTGACTCACAAACACAAGGACCCGAGTTCGATACCTGGTACCAAAAAAAACCAAAAAACAAAAACAAAACAAAACAAAAAATTAGGTTTTAGCTGACTCCTTTTGGTCAGAAAATTCTTATAGGTCTGGGGATTTAGCTCAGTGGTTCTGCTGCCTGCCTCGAAAGTACAAGGACCCGTGTTTAATCCCTGGTACCAAAAAAAAAAAAAAAAAAAAGGAAAGAAAAGAAAATTCTCATGAGTGGCTGAGTAAGTTGAGTGTTGCTACAGGTTTCCTCCCCTTTAAAGGGCTGCATGAAGTGGTGTCTGGCTCAGTCTTAGTTATAAGGGGAGGTTATGGCTTCTGTCTTTTCTAAAGGAGAGAAATCTAATGGGGGCACTGCCACTTCTGTTCTAGAGCTTCTGGTGAGGATGAACAGTCCTAGCCAACTCAGTGTTTCTAATGAAGGAAAGGGAGAATCCTTTTAAAAGTCTGCCATGGGGGAAGATGAATTGGTTTAATCAAATTTTTTTTTCTAGAAGTGGGCCAGTGTAAAAGGTATAATAACTAAATTCTGAAATGCATAAAATTCAAGGTCAGGATTATTTCCTTTGGTCTAGAATTAATCCTAAGAAGTTATAGATGGGAGGAGGAAGGGGAATTGAAGAAAAATAAAATTAAACCTTTTGAGAAAACTTTGAAGGTCCTTTGTCATATGTGGCATTGTACCTGCTTCCTTCACTGTCTCTAACTAACCATAGGCCTGACTATTGTGAGAAAGCTGAATGATGGAGACTACACAGGAAATAAATTGGGAGTGTTGGCACATGCCTGTAATCCCAGCACTGTGGGAGACTCAGGCAGGAGGATTGCAAGTTCGATCCCAGCCTGAGCAATTTAGTGAGATCCATCTCAGAAAAGGGCCGGGGATATAGCTTAGTGTGCAGGCCTGAGTACAATCCCCAGTACAGAAAAACATAAAAACATGGGGAATGAAAGATTCTAAAGATAATTGTAATTACATTTGTGCTATTTTGGGGTGAAACAGTTGTCTTGCCCAGTTTGTACAGAGAAATTATCATATCTATTAACCATATATAAAGGAATCCTTTATGGCCAAGTGAGACTCTATTTCAAGGTTCAGAAAAGGTGAAAAAAAAATTTTAAGCTAATCAGAAAGGGACAGCTAGTTTTCCTTTTGAGATGTATAAATTGTGTTCAACATTATCCTATGTCAGTATTTCCCAATTTAAAAGAAAATTTTTTTTTTTTTTTTTTTTTTTTTTTTTTTTTTTGTATCAGGGATGGAACTCGGGTCTTGTACTTGGGAGGTAGGCAGTGGAACCACTGAGCAAAACCAAATGTAATCTAATTAAACAAAACTCTGAAAGAGAAATAGGTAAAAAAATATTTACAATAGAGCCACTATTGAATAAGCAAGGATAGTCTGTGAATTAAAATGAATAATTAACAAAAGCTGGTATTCTGAGGGAGCATCTTAGGGCAGTAGGGGCAGTGCTAAAGCTGTGAGCCTTCAGAGTGCTTTTGGTAACAAACTTTTAATAACTTTCACTTGAGGATCACAGTGTTGACTTCAGTGGCCTGCTGTCATATGTATGATACTTGTGTATTTCTTCCAGGGACGGGACCAGATGGCAGAATCATCAAAAAGGACATTGACTCTTTTGTGCCTACTAAAGCTGCTCCTGTGAGTTCTGTTTGGCTCTTATTTTTTGCATTTATCTCTGCAAACTGCTTTGTACTCCATGTAAGACCATTTCGTACATTATTGATGAGTGAAATAGTTCAACCAGAACAGTTTTTTTCTAATTTCAGTAGCTTGACAATAATACTTAGGTACTTGTGTGCTGCCATATAATAAAATCAGAGGTGATATGCCATAGTGACATGTATGCCAAATTGAGTTTTGAGTAGTGATAGTTTTTTCCAAAACTCCCTTTCCTCATCCTTCCACCCATTTTTAATAGCATGGTTCCCAGTCAGTTGTCTAGTGATTATGTGGTTAGTCCACACAGGGACTAAATTCGTATGTTCAAGTTTTATTTTGTTAAGATGCTAGGATAGTAATAATAAAGAAAATGAGTCAAGTTACCAAGATATTTAAAATGAAAGATTTTTCCTTAATGTTTTCAAGATAGTGGACTATTTTGTTTATATTTATCTCATTTCTTTCAATTTAAGAATGCTTTGATTGCTTTTCATGAAGATAATTTTCCAAAAAAAATTTTTGTTTTGCGGGGGGTGTACCAGGAATTGAACTTGGGTCCTTGTTCTTAAAGAGCGAGGCAGGTGGCAGAACCACTGAGCTAAATCCCTGGCCCTCCAAAAAAAATTTTTTTTAATGTAAAATGGTCATTGCATATATTCTGGCTCAAAGAAAGATGACATTCAAAACATGATTTCAGCCAGGCATGAAGGTGCACCCCTTTAATCCCAGCACTTGGGAGGCTGAGACAGGAGGATTGCCATGAGTTCAAGGGCAGCCTGGGCTACATAGTGCGTTCAGGGCTAGTCTGAACTACACTAAGCTCCTGTCACAAACAAATATGCTGGGCGTGGTGGTGCACACCTGTAATCCCAGCCCTTGGAAGCCTGAGGCAGGAGGATCTCTACAAGTTCAAGGCCAGCCTGGGCTACGGAGTGAGTTCAAGGCCAATTTGAACTACATAGCAAGTCTGTCTCAGAAAACAAAAAGGCAATAACAACAAAAACCCTTGCCGCCTGCCTTGGAAGTGCAAGGACCCGAGTTCAGAGTTCAATCTCTAGCACCAAAAAAATGCAAAAAACAAAAACATGATTTCAGTATTCTAAGTAAAAAATTTAAAAACAGCCAGGCGTGGTAGTGCATGCCTGTAATCCCAGCATTCTGGGAGGCTGAGGCTGGAGTATCACTGTGAGTTTGAGAACAGCCTGGGCTGTATAGTGAGTTCTAGGTCAGTCTCAACTACATAGTGAGACCCTGTCTAAAAAAAAAAAAAAAAAATTTAAAAACAAAACAAATGTTATCTCATCCAGTTCTTTTTACTCTGTGAGGCTAAAACTAGCCATTTTATTTTCCACTTTGCCATATATAAAGGGTCATTGGCAGTCTTTTGTAGCTGTATATGCTAAGATTGAGCTGTAGTTACTAAGAGCTTTTTCTTTCTCCCTTAGGCCCCAGCAGTTGCTGTGCCTCCCCCAAGTCCTGGAATGGCACCTGTTCCTACAGGTGTCTTCACAGATATCCCAATCAGCAACATTCGTCGAGTAAGTGCATCACCATAATCTGGAACCAGGGCTGTTTTGGCCATCTTTATTCTGGCTCTTTAATTGCATTCATAGTTTAAAATACTAGTAGAAACCTTTTAAGTTGGGAATATTAGATGACTAGTTCAAGGGAAGCTTGGTTTCGTCAGGTGAATACTTAGGATGCAAACCACTATTTTGGTTAAATCTATTAGAAAGTGTAAAGTGATGGTGCAATTAATTCTTCATCCTCCAATTCTGATAGTGCTTGAGGTAAGTACTACTATGGAGCAGAGTGAAGAGGAAAGCAGAGACCTGAACTAGGCAAGGTCTTCTGTCAATTTAAAATAATTGACTTTTGAATCTCTTTACTTTCAGGTTATTGCACAGCGATTAATGCAGTCAAAGCAAACTATACCTCATTATTACCTTTCTATTGATGTAAATATGGGAGAAGTTTTGTTGGTACGGAAAGAACTTAATAAGGTAATACTTCTGGAAATTTGAACTCTGTAACTTGTTCTGTCTTTCCTCCCTAAATAATCTGCTTTTAGTTTAGTACTAGTGATTGAATGTAGGGCCTTTACATTGAACTAAATCCCTAGCCTTTTAAAAAATTTTGAGACAGGGTCCCAGTTGCCCAGACTGGCCTTGAACTTGTGATCTTCCTGCCTTAGCCTTCCAGAGTGCTGGAATTACAGGCACGTGCTACCATGCCCAGTTCAACATTAATATTTTCTTACAGTATTCCAGTTAGTCATAAGGCAGGCACTAAGCTAAATCCCCAGCCCTTTTTTTTTAGTGTTTTGAGACAGGGTCTTGCTATGTAATTCAGGCTGGCCTTGAACTAACTATGTAGACCAGGCTGGCCTCGAATTTGAAACATTCCTGCCTCAGCCTTCTGAGTCTTAGATTTCAGGCTGTGCCACCATACCGGGCTTTCATCTTAGTTTTAGTTTGCAGAGAATATCCTAGAGAATTTTCATCTTCCAAATCTGTGATTAAAATTGCTTAAACTTGATTTTGCTACAGATAGATGTTAGTCTAGCAAAGTCACTTTGATGAGATACTTGAGTCTCTTGGTAGGTAAGAAACACTATTCTTTATTTAGAGTAGAGTACCACATTTCTATTTAGTGTTTGGCATAAGACACTTTGGGGAACACAGAGAGTATAGACACTGTCTTTCTTCACTATGAGTTTGTAGTCTAGTTGGGAAGATAATTCATGTGAAAAAGAGGGAATGTAATTTTTATTAAAGTAAAAATATTCATTTGGATCAGTTAAGTTAGAAAAGGGGGAGACCAGTGAAAGTACAAAGAAATCCATAATGGTACAGGACAAACTTGGTTGGATCAGGAAAAATAAAGTGTTTGGATTGGCAGAGGAGTTGAAGAAATTTCATTCTAGCGATGGAGTATCATAAGGATAAAATGCTTTAAAAATGAAAATAAGCTGGGTACACATGACTGAATCTAAGCTGCTTGGCAACTGAGAAGGAGAGTTGGGAGTTCAAGGCCAGTTTGGGAATTTAGTGAGACTTTGTTCCATAATAAAAATAAAAAGCTGGGGGGCTGGAGATTTAGCTCAGTAGCACCATGCCTGCCTTGCAAGTGCAAGGTCCTGAGTTTGAACCTCCATACCTTGGAGGGGGGAAAGAGCTGCTGATGTAGCTTATAGTGCTTGCCTATATAGTGCTTGTGTAGGCCTCTGGGTTGAGCCCCTAGCATCACTAAAAAGAGAGGAAAATAAATGTAGCTTATGTCAGAGAGAGAGAGAGAGAAGAGTGAGTACCTCTTCCTAGAGCAGATACACAGAAAGTCACCTTAAGGAAGATCTTTTTTTTTTTTTGGTACCGGACATCGAACTTGTGTCCTTGCACTTGCAAGGCAGGCTGCAGAACCTCTGTGCTAAATCCCCATCCCATGTTAAGGAAGATCTTAATTTATAGGAGAATTGGAATTTGGATTTTTTTTTTTTGTACTGGGGATCGAACTCAGGACCTTGCGCTTGCGAGGCAGGCAGTGTTACCACTGAACTAAATCCCCAGCCCTGGAATTGGGATTTGATGAATTGAACACTTAAGAAACCCTTATATTTTTGAGCAGTAACGTGACACCTCTGACCACTTCTGTTTTCCCACATGCTCTGTCCACTACAGACACAGTGGTTGCCCTGCTCTTCCTTGACACTCCTACTTACGACCTTTGCACTTGATGTTCTCCCTGCATAGAGCCTCTGGTATCCACATGGCTTTCTTTTTTACCTCTTTAAGGGTTTGACTATCACCTTCTGTGGTCTCCGTTATTTTTAAATTGCACTTTCCTTCTACCCTTAGTTCTCTTCTATTTTTCTCCTTAACACTTAATGTTGTCTGTATGTTTTACTTATTACATATCCACTTGAGAGTATAAGCTCCACGAGAACAGAATTTTCACCCTTTTTGTTCACTGTTTCATAGCTAGCTTTAGCTTATACACCCAGAATAGAGTGGGCTCTCAAAATGTACAGTACATGACTGCATGCATGAAGGACGTAGCAACAGATCTATGTAAATAAACTATAGGGATTAAAAATGATGGCAGACTTTTATTGTCAGAATAGTCAAGTTTGGGTCAGGGATTTAGCTCAGTGGTTCCACCGCCTGCCTTGCAAGCACAAGGACCCCAGTTCAATCCCCAGTACAAAAAAAAAAAAAAAAAGTAGTCAAACTCTTTTCTCATAAATTTAGTTGCAACTTTGGCAACTATGTTAAATATAGTCAATCATTTTGAATGACTTTATGATATATAATTCATACCATCATAATGCCATACTATTCACTTAAAATGTACAATTCAGTTGCTTTTAGTATATTCGGAGTTATTATAACTGTCACACAATATATTTTAGAACATTCTCATCACCCCCCAAATAGAGATCTTATACTCCTTAGCCATAATCCAATCAACTCTCCCATCTTCTCTAGTCTTAAGAAACCACTAACTTACTTTTTGTCTCTGTAGATTCACCTATTATAAACATATTCTATAAAAGGAATCATATTCCTTTTATAACAAATTGTGTTGTTATATAATCAAATTCCTTTTATAATCAAATTCCTTTCAACAAATTGTGTTGTTTTCTGAATGCCTTCTTTCCTTTGGTATATTTTCAAGGTTCATCTGTGTTGCAGCATGAATTAGTATTTCCTTTTTTTAGGGGGGGTACTGAGGATTGAACTCAGGACCTTGTGCTTGTGATGCAGGAGCAGTGCTACTGAGCTAAATCTCTGGCCCCGAGTATTTCATTTTTTAAAGTTGCTGAGTAGTATTCCATTGTATGGATATATCATGGTTTAGCTATTTATCAGTTGATGGACATTCGCGTTGTTTCCACTTCTTGCCTATCATGAATAACACTATAAAATTTTTATATACAAACTTGAATTGGGACATACATTTTTATTTCTCTTGGATATATCTAAATTAGAGCATATGGTAATTCTTTGTTTTTTTCTATTTTTTATTGTTTCCTTTTGTGGTATTGGGATGAATCCAGGGTCTTTTGCATGCCTTTATAATTGAGCTACATTCCCAACCCTGTGGTTTAGCTTTTTGACTTTTCTGATGTGGGCTTGCCGTTTTACATCTACATCAACAGTATGTGAGAGTTCTAACTTCATAATGTTTTCAACAGTGTTTGTACTATCTTTTTTTGATTATAGCCATCCTGGAGAATTTGAAGTATTATCTTTTTTTTTTTTTATGGTACAGGGATTGAACTCTGGACCTTGCGTTTATGAAGCAGGCGCAGTACCACTGAGCTAAGTCCCCAGCTCTCATTATGGATTTGATTTGCACTGCCTGATGATTGATGAGATGGAACATCTTTTCATTGTCATTCTTACGTCTCTGTGGGAATGTCTATTCAGATCCTTTAGTTTTTTTTTTTTTTTTTTTTTTTTTTGGTACCGGGGATCGAACTTGGGTCCTTGCACTTGTAAGGCAGGCGGCAGATCCGCTGAGCTAAATCCCCAGCCCTTGATCCTTTAGTTTTAAATTGTTATCGTATAGGCAGTACAGATGCCTTATTAGAGATTGATGATTTGCAAATTTGTTTTTAATTGTATAGTTTTTGCTTTGTAGATGGTTTCCTTTGAAGCATAAAAATTTTAATATTGTGTCCAATTTATCTGTTTTGTCCTTGTGCTTTTGGCATTATATCTAAAATATATTGCCTAATATAAGGTAACGTTATGAAGACATGCACCTACATTTCCTTGTAAACATTTTATAATTTTAAGTTTTAACTTTATTTTTTTCTTTTTGGTTTTTTGAGACAGGGTCTCACTATGTGATTCAGGTTGGTCTTGAACTCACCATGTAGCCCAGGCTGGTCTCAAGCTTGTGGCAATCCTCTTCCCTCAGCCTTGCCAGTGAGGAGATTGCAGGCATGTGCCACTATGCCCAGTTACCTCTAATTTGGTGTTGAACAGAAGTGGAAAGAGTGAACATCCTCATCTTCCTGATCATAGGGGGAATAAGTTTTTGTTGTTGTTTGAGGCAGAGTCTCATTGTGTAGTCTAGGCTGGCCAGAATTAACAAGGAAGACAAGAGTTAATCTGTGAAGTCATTTAGGTCTAGTCTTTTCTTTGTGGTAGTTTAAAATTGATCTTTACCAGTTTTACGTTTATTCAAAGTTTCTATTTTTTGTTGGTTCAATTTTAATTTGTATTTTGCAAGGAATTTGTTCTTTAATATGGATTAGCTAATTTGTAAGTATATTGTTGTTCATAGTATTTTAGACATAAAATTCCTTTATTTGTACAAGGTAGCTAATAATGTCTCCTATTGCACTCCTGATTTTAGGGATTTGAATCTTCTCTTTTTTTCTTGGGCAAACATTTGTTCTTGTCATTGTCATTTGGTTGATCGTTTGAAAGAACCAACTTTTAGATTGGTTGAGATGAAAGAAAATGAAGATAAACCATGTGAAGGGTATTGCTGAAACAGTGCTTAGCAGCCCATTTGTAGCTTTTAATGCCTATATCAAACAAGTTGCCAGGTTTTAGTTTCATTTCATTTTTCCACATAGGTCATTTATAAGTTTTTATCCAGTCTGTTGTCAAGATTATGTATATAGTTACATTCTCAAGGTAGGTAGGTTGGTTTGTTTGTTTTCTTTCTTCAGTACTGGGGATTGAACCTAGGCCTTCCCATTGAGCTATTCCAGCCCTTTTTAACTTTTGCATTTTTATTTTGAGAAAGAGTCTCACCAAGTTGCTAGTTTGCCTAGGTTGGGCTTGATCTTGGGATCCTCCTTCCTCAGTCTCCCAGATTACTATGATTTCTTGTCTTTTCAGATGTTAGAAGGAAAAAGCAAAATTTCTGTCAATGATTTCATCATAAAAGCTTCAGCTCTGGCATGTTTAAAAGTTCCTGAAGCAAACTCTTCTTGGCTGGACACAGTTATAAGACAGTAAGTATAGATGAGGAAGGTATGTACCAGTCAGCAGTTACATTGTCTAATGTGGTAACTAGTAGCTTGAGAGAGAGAATGGCTACAGAGTCTTTGAGGTCAGCAAGGAGATCATTATACAGATATGTCTAATTCAGCTGATAGTGACTCTTCACAAAGCAAGGGTTAGATCTGTTCACCAGTGATTTCATCCAATGTGAGTAATGGAAATATTGAAAACAGTATATGGTAATATTATGGTTGCACATATGGTACAACACACAGTGTGTTTGACATGATTTAATCCTACAGCCATCTGAGTTAAGTGTTTCATTGTCACTTTCTAGATCAAGAAACTAATGTTCAGTGAGTTAAATAATTTGCCCTGAGTTAATAAGTGTCAGAACTATGACTGGCATTAAGATTCTGACTTCTGCCTGGGGATTTAGCATTGCACCTGCCTGGTAAGCGCAGGGTCCTGAGTTGAATCCCCAGTATGGAGGACGGGGGAGGGGATTCTGACTCTTAAGTTTAGACCTTTTCTAGTAAATAGATGTTTTTATATTACTGTTATTATAAAAAGAAGAAAAAGCATTTTCTACATCTTTTCTTTCATTAGTGACTACACCGATTAATAGGTTCTCTTGTGGCAGATTTAACAAAGAAAAAATTCAAAAGCTGGTGGTTCACACCTGTAATCTCAGCACTCCTGTAAGTTCAAGACCAGCCTGAACAGCATATCTAGATCCTATCTCAAAAATAAACAAACATTTTGACAGATTTATACATGTATGTAATATACTTTGGTCATTTTTACCTTCCCCTTAATTTTATATTTCTTGGGATGATTTCAATGCATTCAATATATTCATATATATATATTGGTACCAGGGATCGAACTCAGGACCTTGTGCTTACGAAGCAGGCAGTGGCACTACTGAGCTAAATCCCCCCCCCCCCCCGTTTTTTTTTTTTGTTTTTGTTTTTTTTGAGACAAGGTTTCACTATGTAGTTGAGACTGACCTGGAACTCACTATGTAGCCCAGGCTGGTCTTGAACTCACAGCAATCCTCCTACCTCAGTCTCCCGAGTGCTGGGATTATAGGCATGTGCCAGCATGCCTGGCTTATACATATTTTAGATATTACTGGTCTGTCAAATTGTTTTCACATTCTGTAGGCTGATACTTTTCAATGATCTCTTGATTATTCAAAAGTCAATTGTACAATCTGAATGTGTTTGTATAGTTCCTGTAGTTTCTCTTGCTGTTGATTTCTAACTTCATCCCATTATGGTATGGTAAAATGATAGAGATTATTTCAAATATTTTTGTATTTCTCAAGGCTTGCTTTATGGCCTACAATAAAATCAATGTTGGAGAATGTTTCATGAGCTGCTGAGAATGTACCTTTTGTAGTTGGATGGAATGTTCTGTACACATCTGTTAAGTTCATTTGGTATATGGTGTAATTGAACTGATTTTTTGCTGAGTTTTTGTCATATAACCTGTCTATCGGTTAGAGTACAGCATTGAACTCACCCACTATTACTCTGTTGGGACCTGTATGTCCTCTTATGTTAAGTAGTGTTTTGTGAAATTGGGTGCAGTGATGTTCAGTATATATGTGTTTACAATTGTTGTATCTTTGCAGATGTTTTTCCCTTTAGCAGTATGTAGTGACCTTCTTTGTCTTGATGTCTGCTTTGTCAGATAGGAGCATAGCTACTCATACTTGCTTGTGAGTTCCATTTGCATGAAATATTGTTTTCTGTCCTTTCATTTTTAATCTTTGCATGCCATTGTTAGGGAAGTGTGTTTCTTGCAAGCAGTAGAGTTGGTTCTTGTTTTTTAATCCGATCTGACAATCTATGTCTTTTAAGGAGAATTAAGACTATTTACATTTAGATTTAAGAGAAAGGTATGTACTAATTCCTGAGCCGGGGATTGAGCTCAGTGGTTCTTCCGCCTTCCTGCCAAGCACAAAGTCCAGAGTTTGATCCCCGGTACCAGGTATGTACTGATTCCTGATGTTTTGTTATTTTTGTAATGTTTCATTCTTTCCTGGTTCTCATTAGGTTGTCTACTCTTCCTCTTCTGGGTATAGGATTCCTTTTAAGTATCTTCTGCAGTACTGGCTTAGTGATCATGAATTTCTTTAGTTTATGCGTATACTGGAAAGTATTTCTCCTTCAATTTTGAAGGATAGCTTTGCTGGATATAGTAATCTAGGTTGGCAGTTATTTCCTTTCAAGGCTTGAAATATGTTGTTGCATGGCCTCCTGGCATTCAGGGTTTCTGCAGGCAAGTCTTAAATTGGTATGACGGATTTGCTTCTGTAAGTCACTTGGCATTTCTGTCTTGTAGCTTTCACTATTCTTTCCTTACTCCGTATATTTGCCATTTTAACTATAATGTGATATAGGAATTTCTTTTCTGGTCATGTCTGCTTACATTTCTAAATATCTGATGTATCAAGATTTAGGAAGTTTTCCATTGTTTCATTAATTATTTTTCTATGCCATTAGTCTGAATCTCGGTGCTCTCTTTTACAACAAATTTTAAGTTTGGTCTTTTAATCTTATCACAGAATTTTTGGATGTTCTGTTTATAATTTCTGTCTTTTGTTGTTGTGGTGCCTGAGTCCTCAGTCTTCCTTTCAAGCCTTAAAATTCTGTCTTCTGCTTGTTCCTTTTTATTCGTGAGGCTTTCCACTAAGTTTTTTATTTGTCTTACTGTGTTTTGCATTTCCAGAATTTCTTTGCTCCTTCTTCAGAATCTCTATCTTTTTGTTGAATACTTCCTTCCTATCCTGCATTTGTATTCTCTGTGAAGTCATTAATTGAAAAGTCAAATCTTTGGGATTCTTTGGCATTTCATCCACTTTAGTATCTTTGTAGTCAGATACTGATGAATTATGGACATGTTGAGGAGTCATATTGTCTTGTTTTTTTGTGCTTCTTGTGTTTCTGTATTGAGCTTTGTGCCAGGCATAGTGTTGTATGCCTGTAATCCCAGCACTTGGGAGGCTGAGCAGGAGCACTACTGTGAGTTTAAAGCCATTCTGAACTACAGTAGTGAGACCCTGTCTCAAAATACCCCAACACCCACACACACACGGGAGGTTGAGGCAGAAGGATTGCTGCAAGTTTGAGGCCAGCTTGTGTGACATAGTGAGTTCAAGGTCAGTCTCAACCATATAGTGAGACTGTCTCAAAAAACTTAAAAAAAAAAAAAAAGCAGGTTTTGTTAGTGTCTAACCTTCTTGATCTCTAGCACTACTTAGAGAAAACAAATTAATATAATGTTGGTGACACAGACAAACCAGATACATACAGTGAAAAGCAATGACAACACCACTATTAACAATAGAAAAGATACCAGCAATAATAAATAAAAGGCTAAAAATAAAGTTAACAGTAATAATAAAAATGAAGGGGATGGGGAAAGAGAAAAATGAAGTAAAATTGTAAAAAGAAAGAATAGGAAGATGAGAGAAAAGGAGATAAAAATTTGATTAAAGAATAAAAATGGGACAGTGATTTAACTCAGTGGCACAACACCTACTTCAAAAGCACAAGGTCCTGAATTCAGTCCCTGGTACCAAAAAAAAGGAAATGTAAATGGAATTAAGTTAAAAATAACAGCAAAAACGAAATACAAATAAGAAAAAGATAATAAAAAAAATGAAACCATAAAACAAAACAAATTCTAAAAGAAACAATCAAAGAAATTACTCTGCATCCCTGTGTTTGGTGGGTAGTTTCTTTCTAGGCCCTGTACTATTGGAACCCACCAGATAAGGGGAAGGGATAGTAAGTCACAGCTAGAGTCAGTGGGAATGCTGAGTCCTTCCAGTCCTGGTCATGTTGGGGCATGGGGACAGCAAACAGACCATTGAATTCTGAGCTGGAAATATGTAGCAGGGGGAACTGAGTAGAACCCTAGACAGTCTTAGTGCTTTCAGACCCATCCCTCTAAAACACTATGCCTGTGAAGCTTGGCTAAAGGAGGGGTCCTGCCAGCCACTGAGTCCTGCACAGCCTGAGCTCTCCACTGCTTAACTTTTTTAAAATTTAGGAATAAGACTTTACTAAATTGCTTAGACTGGCCTCTAATTTAATGATCCTCCTGCCTTGACCTCCAGAATAGTGGGGATTACAGGTATGCGTGCTCCAGGCTAGCTGCACCATTCATGTTTCAAAAGTACAAATCAAGGAGAAAGCACAGCAAATGGTAAAAACTATGAGGAAGACATCTGAATAGTAGCACAAACAGATCCTAATTTTGTTGGGGGGGGCACTGGGGATTGAACCCAGGGCCTTTACACTGAACTACATTCTCAGCCCTTTTATAATTCTTATTTTGAGATCGGTTCTCACTAAGTCAACTAAATTTTCCAGATGAAATTTCTAATCTTGCTATCTCAGCTTCCTGTTATGCTGAGACTGCAGATGTGCGCTAACATACCTGCCTTAGTGTTTAGTTCTTTTTTTTTTTTTTTTTTTTTTTTTTTTGAGGTAAATACCCATTCTTGCTTAACTTGGCATATAGGTTTGGTTTTTGTTGTTTTGGGTTTTTTTTTTGTTGTTGTTTTGTTTTCATTTTGTTTTTGTTGAGGGCCTTATGAATGCTAGGTGAGTGCTCTAGCACTAAGCTACACCATAGCCTTAGGCTTTTGATAAATGTTGGTGTTGATCATTTAGTGTTTTTTGTTTGCTTGCTTTTTGGAGATACTGAGGATTGAATCCTTTTTTCTCTTTAAACAGAAATCATGTTGTTGATGTCAGTGTTGCTGTCAGTACTCCTGCAGGACTCATCACACCTATTGTCTTTAATGCACATATAAAAGGACTGGAATCCATTGCTAATGATGTTGTTTCTTTAGCAGCCAAAGCAAGAGAGGGTAAACTACAACCACATGAATTCCAGGTAACATATTTATTGTCAACTTTCAAGGATTATATTATTTTTAAGGTGAACCTGATGCTTTTATTGCCTTTTCTACCTTTTGTTTCTGCCACATATTCTTTTTTTTCTTTGTTTTTTGTTTTTTTTTGTTTTTTGTCTGCCACATATTCTTATTGACATAAGATCCTGAAAATAAAGAAAAATTAAGTCACATGTTAAGTGCTGAAAATAAGACATTTTCCTCTTTATTATATGCACAACCTACTACAACTGACTTTTGTCCATATTATAATGTTCATTAATGTGTATTCTCTTTAGGCCTTTCTGAAAACAAAGTAATAAAAGATTATTTTAGGGGCCAGGGATTTAGCTCAGTGGTGCCACCACCTGCCTCGCAAGCACAAGGACCTGAGTTTGATCCCTGGACCAAAAAAAGATTATCTTAAAGCTTTTTCACAGACTGTACTTTTTTTCTGATTTATGTTGGCAATTAATATGATCTACTTTTTAATCTTTTTTTTTTCTTTAGGGTGGTACTTTTACAATCTCCAATTTGGGAATGTTTGGCATTAAGAATTTCTCTGCTATTATTAACCCACCTCAAGCTTGTATATTAGCAATTGGTGCTTCAGAGGATAAATTGGTTCCAGCAGATAATGAAAAAGGGTAAGTGTCAAAGTGGAAAAGAAGTTGTAAGTTCATTTTCATTACTTTGTATCTTTTTTTTTTTTTTTAATTTTCAGTTTTACCATTTTACTGACAGTTGTTTAGATGGTATATTGGCCCTTCAATAGAATGAAAATGTGGAATGGAATTCCTTAGGGCACCAACTTTTATTAAATGCAATTAATCACATTTGAGATGGGATTCTTTTGAATAGGTTTACTCTAGGTGAGAAGTCAGCACACTTCTTTTTTTTTTTGGTACTGGGGATTGAACTCGGGTCCTTGTGCTTGCGAGGCAGGCAGCAGAACCACTAAACTAAATCCTTGGCCGACAGCACACTTCTTTAACAGTCGATAGTAAATACTTGAGGCTTTCTGGGCCATACAGACTATTGCAAATACCCTGCCATTCTAATATATTTTTCTTTTTCTTTTTTTTTTTTTGTACCAGGGATTGGACTCAGGACCTTGTGTTTGCCAGGCAGGCACGGTGCCACTGAGCTCAGTCCCCGACCCAGCCATTTTAATATAAAAGCAGGTGTAAACAATACATAAAATAATTTTTTTAAAAAATGCACAGCAATGGGGCTGGGGATTTAGCTCAGTGGTTCCGCCACTTGCTTCACAAGCACAAGGACCCGAGTTCAATCCCCAATACCAAAAGTAATGCACAGCAGAGGGCTGGGGAATTTAGCTCAGTGGTGCTGCCATCTTCCTCGCAAGCACAAGGTTCTGAGTTCAGTCCCTGGTAACCGCCCCCCCCCCACGCACAATGCACAACAGAGTTTAAGATTTGGCATATGTAGTGTAGTTTTCCTACCCATGTTTCTAAGTGTCTGGGCTTTTTCTTCAAGCTATTAATTTGAGGTAACTACATGAGTAGTAGATGGGAAATAATATTATATGGGTAGGATTGAGCACAGGAATCAGAATATGGGTAGATACTGATTAAAATTCATTGATTGCCTTCACAATTCCTAATAATGTTTTTACTTTTTCTAGATTTGATGTGGTTAGCATGATGTCTGTGACACTCAGTTGTGATCATCGAGTTGTGGATGGAGCAGTTGGAGCCCAGTGGCTTGCTGAATTTAGAAAGTACCTTGAAAAACCTATTACCATGTTGTTGTAATTGACCCCCAGAATCTTCAGACTCTTGCAGGTTACATTGGTTCATTCTTACTAGGATATTTATATGTTATTAAACATGGTTCTTTTAAAGTTCACCAGTTATTTTTATTATGGAGTCTTTCCAGATAAATTATTTATAATGGCATTACTGAATATTTTAATGCCGGTTATACCCATATATTGTTCACATTCAATGATTAAACACCTGGTTTTAAGCTGTGTACTTTTAGTCAAAGGATATATGCTAGCTTGGTGATATGTATTTCCATTAGGAGATACAGGACAGGCAGAACTGTGCTTCCCTAGACACAAATACTAAAAGTAATATCAGTGATACTTTGCTGTTCCAAATTTAATTGCCTAAAATTTCTTAGATGTAAAGGAAAGAGAAATTAGGGAAAGTTACTTTTCTTACTTTTGTATGAACGAACCATGGTTTAAACTTTTCTGTTACATGATCTGGGTTTTGGTTTATCATATGTGGAAAGGGTAGAGGACTTCAAGAGAAATAAGTGAAATTTTAAATGGTCAAAATTTTCTTAGATGTCTTCAAACATTTATTTTTCTATCAATGTTTAAATGAAATGGTTGCTTTCCCTCTAAAGATATAAACCAATTTCTTGGTATACACGAGGACTTAAGTGGGTATTTGTTTAAGCAAACATGTAATTCTCAGAGGAATTACATGTTTGTTTAAATAAATGAGCATGCTTATAAAATTTAACAGAATTTAAGTTGTGGAAGTAGAATTTTCCTTTAAGATATCTATTTATAAATGGACTTAGTTATCAGAATTTATTACTCAAAATAACTGGAAAGCTCTATGAAATGAAAAAGGAATACATGTATATATGTAAAATATGGTTACTAGAGTTGGATATGTGCCAAAGTCTGTCACCAAAGTCCTGTCTGAAAAAAAGAGAAGGGGTATATTTGTGAATGGTTTAGAATGATAAAAACAGTGATGCCCTAGCCTAGCTAGCATTGCCTGTATTCCTATCTGTTCAAGAGGCTCAGTGAGGCTGGAGGATCACTTTAGCCCAAGAATTTGAGGCCAGCCTGGGCAATGTAGTGAGATGTCTCAAAAAACAAAATAAAACAAATGATGCCCTAAATGGTAATTTCTGCTTGCAGAAAGTAAAAAAGATAAATGTATTTTTAGAAGTTTTTTTCCCACCCCAGTATTGTCTCATGTAAAACAAGATAGCCCTAAAATCCTGCTGGAGAGGAAAAAAAAATTCATTAAGTGGCTACCTCATCAGCCTAAATACTTTTTAAAATTTTATTGTGTTTTGCTTTTCCTTTAGAGGCAAGGAGGACATGATATTTAGGATAATAAAAATGAATTGGGAACATTACCACAATTCCAGACTTTCTGTTGAATTGATGGGTTTTAATAAATATTTGGAATTATTTATGACTATTTAAAAATAAACCTGACCAGTGCTTCCTTATATATGTAATATGTGGAGCTCTCATCTGAGATTTGCTTTGTTTCAGTGTTGAATTATTTCTCAATGTTCATTATTACATGGTGCATAAGTGACACTCCGTATTTTCCACATTTACTTTGCTATATTATTATGAAAACAGTTCACTTCATTAAATGTGACTTTTCATTGATTAGTAATTTTAGGTTGAATTGAAGATTATGTAAAAAACATTTTATCACAAGGGACCATCATCAGTCTGGGCCAGATCCAGTTCCACCAGATGAAACTTCAAAAATAATTAATTCTTTGCTAATGTTTGTGGGTCTCTTTGTTCCCTTGAAGGAAAAATAAAGTTGCCATCTACTAAAAGTTGTTTGAGTTAAGAATTTATCTCAGCTATAATCTAAATCTGCAGTGAGTATATTTCTCTTACCTGAATTGAAGGAAGAAAGTTAGAAATAGTGTTGTTTAAATAAGATTATTTAGGGCCAGGGATTTAGCTCAGCGGTTCGGTGGCCTGCCTTGTAAGCACAAGGACCCGAGTTCAATCCCCGGTACCAATAAATAAATAAATAAATAAGATTATTTAAAAATTAAACTTTGTTTTCAATATGTCTGGTGTAATTTTTGATCTGTTGGGAATTTCTTTCACATTAAATGATTAAGATCCAGTGTCAGCTATATGCTTATAAACTCACAATACATATAAACTTTATGTAAGTGGTAAAATAAGGATTGAATTTAGGAGGATATAATACAGCGCTCTAAACTCAAGGAGCTAAGGTAGTACTCCATCTTGGGGCGTGGCACTTATACCAAAATGGAAAGTACCTCAGGTCTGGTTTTATTAGAGGAATTTACCCCTTATTCTGAGGTGTGTGAGTCTAAAGTTGTCTCAAGGCATGGTGTACAAAAGGAGGTCAGCATGTGGAGACGACAGGAATATGCTGCAAGGAAAAGTTATTACATAATGCATGACTGCTGGAATACACAGGGAAATTATAGTCAATACTGAGAACTGATCTAAAATCAAGTCTGCAGAAAATCTAGTCTCTAAATTTCTAATTTTGAGGGGAAAAAAATCTTAGGTTCAAATTTAAGTCCACATTTGATTAATGTCCTTCCTGGCAACAGTTTGGTTTTTTGTAGGTAGGAAAATGAAAGACATTTTTACTAATGTAAAAATCCATTAATATGTGAGGAAATTTTAGAAAATATGAATTTAACATTGTAAAATTAAGTATATTCAATGTTATGCATTTTTTTAAGGAGTACAGAAACAGTAATGCAAGTAACACCTATGGATTGCATACCAAAGTAGAGATTTAGTTCTGTGTTGTACGGAGATTTTTCTTCTTTTTTTGAGACAGAGTCTCACTATGTAGTTGGAACTCACTATGTATCCCAGGCTGGTCTCAAACTCACAGCGATCCTCCTGCCTCATCCTCCCAAGTGCTGGGATTACAGGCCTGTGCCACCACGCCCGGCTTGTACGGAGATTTTCTGGGAACACATTGTAGCTGTTTTGTAGAAGAAAAGATGTGAAGGGATTTCAAGTTTTTGGTGTTGGAGACAGGTTCTCACTATATAGCCCAGATTGGCCTTGAACTCATGGCAATCCTCCTGCCTCAGCCTCCTGAGTGATAGGACCACAGGCTTGCACCGTCATGCCCAGCTGATTTTAAGTGTTTTGAAGGATGAAAAGTATAATAACTTTGTTAACAATTTTAGGTCATCATGCCATTCCAGAAAGTTTTCAGAAGCTAAATTATCAAATCTATATCAAACTTAAGACAAGTATATTTGCTTTTAAATGTCACAAATTATTTGCTGTACATACAGCATTGGGTCACTGGGTTGTCTTGCATGGTGGCTACCCTCACACTCTAGAGTGTGCTTTTATTTATTTATTTTTGGTACTGGGAATCAAACTTGGGTCCTTGTGCTTTCAAGTCAGGCAGTGGAACCACTGAGCTAAATCCCCGGCCCTAGAGTACTTTTATTTTTATTTGGCCCAAACTTACTCTGCAGAGCTTGTTTCTTTTCTTACCGTTAATAAAACTTTGCTACCTTTAAAAAAAGTTTCAAAATTAGTAAAGATTTATAATCCTTATGTTGAAGTATACATTAATGATTACTGGAAATCTTGTCTAGAAAAGAAAGATGATTAAAGGATGTTTAAAGTGTGACATGTGTACTGCTAAATTGGAATATAAATCAGATGGTACTTTGGTGTTTGGCAGCTTAGAGATAAATGGAAGTTAGAAATTCTTTTACTTTATTTCTGTAAGAGAAAAAATATTTGTCCAAAGTCCACTTTCTCAAATTAGAGATGGATTTATTTAGTTTGTGATGTGTAACATTTGATTGCTGTTACATGTCATTGTATCTGATCCAACAGACATGTCCATATCTGAAAAAAAGGTCTGGCTGACTACCTAGACTCTGGCAGAACTGTTTTATTGAAGTATAGAAATTAATGTTAGAGAACAGGTTTGAATATATCTGGGCCTACATCAGTATTGCAAATATTTATTTTTTTAAGTAGCTACACATCTTAACTTGAAATTAGAACTTCCCCAAATGATGTTTAGTTACTCAAGATTGCTACAGATAGCACTGAAATAATTACCTTACATCTATACTGTTTTAGTAGGTTCTGGTTGATGCCAAGTTTGAGAAGGAAAAGTCAGTTAAATATTACAGGTAAAGGGAAAATGACAACCCATTAAGAACTCTTAAAAAACAATTAATGATTAAGATAAGGTACTACACCTCTACCCATAACAGGCCTATAATTCACATAATTTACAGCACTGGGAACTCAAAATATGATGCTCTTGTTTTATACCAGTGGCATTGTGATGATTAATGTAGATTTCTCTTTGATAAATTTTGCTGTAGTCATTTCAGTATTAACAGATTCTGGAAGATTCAGATGTAGTCTGTACTTCTCAGAGACCTCGATCAGTAAGTCATCCTAAGAATAAAGAAAAGTTTTAAGAGATAAACATATTTCCTGGTCAGTGATTGTGCTAGTGGACTATTCCCTTTGGGGGAGGATACCATTTACTGTCATGTGGTTTGTAATGAGCAATGAAAGTACTGTTGTAAATTCCTGAAATTTTGACATTGTGATTGCTGCTCAATACATAAGATATTAACTGATAGAGTACTAGAGGTAGGATGTTGTCATTCCTAAATTATATGTATTGTCTTTGGGTCGATTAGCAAATGGCAAGGAAACTTAGGGATGACCTGAAAGATCATGACCCATCCTTCATAATAATAAAGCTTTTAATGAAACCATCACAATAATTAGAAGACAATACTTAGTTAATTCATGGCTTTAAGGTAAAGTGGGGAATGTTAGTATGTGTGGTCCTACTAACAACATTTCATACAATACTATAAGAAAAGCAAATTTAGGAAATAATTGTCCAGTGCACAAGCAGAATTGAAAAGGAATATACAGAGCTCCTAAATTCTAAGACTTAAAGGCTGAACAATGGAACTGTATTTTCTATGGGTAAAGGATAAAGTTGAGAAATTATTTTTATTAGCAAAGTCTAGAGACAAATATTAAACCACAGATCTTTATGCCCTTCAAACCTCTGGATTAAGGTACACTTCAGTGAATCGTTATTTGGCTAAAATGACAATTAAGTCTAATGAGACAGGTAATTCTTGAGACACAAACATGTCTTAAGTATAGCACTGGCTGGAATCAAAGAAAACAAGAATTGACTTAAAACATTCTTTGGCCTTTGAATATTCCATGTGCAAGAGACAGGGTGAAGAAGCTGCTCAGCACCTAAGACTGGTATAGTCACTACTTTCGGATGTAGCCAAAGTTTATACTGTAAGAAAATAATCTCCCAAAGAATGGAGCAGAAGGTCATGAAAAATAAGACTACGAAGCTAGATAATGAACTGTCAAGGAAAAGCAAAAATACCAGAATCAGTGTGCACCAGTAACTGTGTGCCTCATATTTTCCCATTCCTGAAATGAGACTATTATTGTTATCTGTCTCCTTTCCTCATCGTATGGTGAAGAGTTTAGGGGGTAAACTTGGCATGTCATTGGTTTGTAGTTAAAGGAACAAATCACAGAGTATATATAATGACAAAATCCTGTATTGCGTGCGTGCGTACATGTGTGTGGTACTGGGGATCGAACTCAGGACCTTGTGCTTGCGAGGCAGGCGGTGGCATCACTGAGCTAAATCCCCAGCCAAAATATTTTTTTGTGTGTGTCTTTATGTGTTGTTTTTTGTTGTTGTTGAGGTGTTTTCCTTGAAGAAAGAAGCAAGTATCTGTGACCAAGAGGATAAACACACTGTAGAATTGGTCCCAACTGTTTGTTCTTTTTCTACAAGGGGATTATATATCCATGCCAAGTGACTTCCTGTGATTTACCTGTGAAAAAAATATACTTTCCAGTCCTATTGGTGTATGATTTGGCCTTGTGAAATACTTTGGTCAGTGGAATATAAGCAGAAATGAAATGCCATGCCTAAGGAGAAGTTTTAGATCTACTGCATAGGTTGGTCATTTGTATTTTAACTCTCCTAGGAAAATTACATATCTCAGATGGAAACTGCCCCTTCATCTGGATCTAGGAATGTGCAGTCAAGACTCATGGAGCTGATATGTAACCTGAGCAAATTATTATAAAACCTTGAAATTTTTGCTGTTACAATATAATACTGTGAATGCTGACAGGTACAAATTTACCATATATCTGGCCCTCTGTATCTTAAAGTACTGTATCTGTGGATTCAACCTACCTTGTATTGATGAAAATGTACCATAGTTAGGCCTCTGATGGTTGCACCTTACTGAACATGTAAAAGACCTTTTGCCTTCAGATTATTCCCTAAACAATGCAGTCTAATAATGAGATAGTTTAGATCTTAATGTCCCCAAAGGTCCATGCAGCAATGGCTTGCTTTCCCTGGAGTCATCTATCAGGAGGGTGTGGAATTTTTAGGTGGGGACCAGTATGAAGTCTAGCTGACTCGGGGCATGGCCCTCAACAGAATGTGGGACCTTGGTCATTTCCTTCTCTCTCTTGTTCTTTGGCCATAAGGTAAGCATGTGCTGTCTAACCACAGACCTAAAAATAATCTAGGCAAACTGATCATGGATTGGAATCTGAAAATATGGGCCAAAATAAAATATTTTGAAATATTTTAAGCATTTTAATAGTAACAGCTGACTAATAGCAACTATCATTTATATTGCATTATTTTAATCCAGAGATGATTTAACAGGTCCCTGCTGGCTTGAACCTCCAGCAGTACATGCACAACTGTCTCACCTGATGGGACTCTCATTGCCCAATGGGACAGTCATACACGAACCACCAGTGGTTCAGAACTTACCAGCTGTGAGACATGAATTACAGCCTTGTTGTGACCATGTTAAAATATATGGGAGGACATTATATACACATTTTATATGTAACTATGCCACTTTATATATACTGGACTTCTGCATCAATGGATTTTAGTATCTGCAGGAGTTACTGAAAACAGTCCCTCATGGATATACCAAAGGACTACTGTGTTACCTGTTTAACTTACCTCAGAAACACTAAGGTCACAGAGAGAGACTTCATTAATACCAGGTAAGTCGACTTTCAATTCAATTTTCAGAGGTTTCTCATGCTGATCCTTCAAAACTTTTAAGTCATAGATTGGTATCTTCATCTCCACGTGGGTTTCAGTAGTAGAAATCTCTTCTATCAGACATCTTGCTTCACTTGAAACTTGGTCTTTTGGCAGTAAGAGATGAGGAAAGTGATCTGAATTGTTCACAGTGCTGTTTCTTAATTGTTCAAGAGTGTGTTCTTTAAAAAAAAAAGGCAAGAAAAATCACAAAGTACTATCAGGTTGTGAGCTGTAAGATATGTTGTATAAGCAGAGATGGCAGGATAAGCTGCAGTTAAATTAGTTTGGAAATATTAAGCCAAAAGAATCTTTAACAAGGCCAGGGATGTAGTTCAGTGGTAGAATGCTCACCTGGCATTTAAGGCTCTGAGTTCAGTTAGATCGCTAGTTCGACAACAGTAAAACTGGGAATTTTAAGCCAAAAATTTTGGCTGAAAAATTTTCAGGAGTTAAAATCTTTATGGATATGCTAACATTTAAAAATACCCAATCTGTGTGTGTATGTATGCTATATATGTGTGTGTGTGTGTGTGTGTGTGTGTGTGTGTGTGTGTGTGTGTGTATGTGTATACATACTGTAAGCCAAGTATACATTAAATATATGGTACTATTGTCAACGAGGACTATTTCTATCATCTTTTCAGGTCCTTCTTGAAGGAAAAAAGATGTATTGCTGATTATTTTATTTTGTATTTGGCTTTGTTTCTACATTTTAGCATTAATACATACAAAATGAGAGTAAAATAGAGTTAAGTTTTTAGCCAATTTCTTTTGCTATTCTGGTTCAGCACAGTATCTTACAGTCATCTTGGCTAGAGTGAAGAAGATGTGGGCGCTTCTGCCCTTGGATACTGTCATGTTCCACAGTGACAAGGCCACCCACCCATCACTGCTCTCAGGGGACCCTGCCTCTTGACCTACCTCAGCCCCCTGAATGATGAGATTATAGACAATATTTTTCTGAAGTTTTTCATTTTTTAAAATCAAGACTTTGTTTGAAAAATGTATAAAATTGCAAAAAAAAAAACCTTAAATCATTTTAAATTGATTTACATTCATCAACTTACCCTTTCTTATTTTTTGTCTTAAATCTGTGACATCATCTTGCATTCCCATCAGATTTTGTTTCATTCTTTGAATGCTTCCTTTTATTTTAAATTTGGTAATATGGTAAGAGTGTGAGAGAGTGAGTTGGAATTGCTCCTCAACGCATTTCATAGCCATCTTTATTATCTGATCTTTTTTCACTTGCTCCTTTTCTGTTGCCTGGAGAACCTCAGGATTGTAGGCAACATTGATGACTGTGTACTCATCTGTGTAATTCAGAGGATATGAAACAAAGACACCTTGTTTCTCTAATGATATTGTTAGGTTATATATTAAACCATATTCCTGATAAAGCTACAAAATAAAAATTCCTGCATTTTTCAGGATTCACAGTGGTGCTATATATATAAAAAGTTGTAATTAAGGCACTGTTTAGCATTTTTGTATGGATTAAAAGCACCCATATAATTGCAGTATTGAATTTGCATACAGGTACACTAATTTGTCATAATTATACTGCCAAATAAAATATTTTACTTGAAATGTTTTTGCCAAGTAAAATTTAGTCCATATATATATATATACACATGTATATATATATATGTGTGTGTGTGTGTGTGTGTGTATATATATATATATTTGCTGCTGCTGTTGTACTGGGTATTGAACTCAAGGCCTTAAATTACATCCCCATCCCTTCCTTCCTTCCCTCTTTTCTTTTTTGAGACAGGGTCTCACTGTGTTCAGGCTAGCCTTGAACTCACTATGTAGCCCTGGCTGGCTCAAACTCACCATAATCCTGTTTCAGCTTCCCTAGTGCTAGCATTACTGGCATGTGCCACAATCCCTGGCTATCCTTTTTATATTTTAAGACAAATTCTCCCTAAATTGACCAGGCTGGCCTCAAACTTGTGATCCTCCTGTCCCAGCCTCCTAAGTAGTTGGAATTATAGGCATGTGTTCCTGTATCTGCGTCACAATAAAAATTTTAAAATGCGCTTTTTCTTTAATCCTTTTTACCTGATGTCTCAGTGATGTCTTCTGGTCTGCCAACACTTAGAGGTACTGGATACATACTTAATTGGGGAGTGGGAATCCTTTTCCACTGACACAGATTGATAAAAAGTATTTTTTCTTTTGGCTTCTGGAAAGTGAATAATTTTGATATCTCAAAGTCAAGTTTAAAAAATAATGTTATGTCCTAAAATTCGTTTATCACAGTGTTGGAAGAGAGCTTTTTAGGTGCTAAGTCATGTAATAAAACTGTTTGATAAATTATATTTTTGTCACTTGCTTTCTCTAAAGTCATCAGCTATTTTCATTATGAATTCAGATGCTGCTCCTTCTGAAAGGAACTGGGCAGAAGAAGGGGAAATTGATAAATTGTTCCTAGTGCATTTGACCCTATTTCACCACTTCATCATCTCATTGTCAGATACGTATTTACCATTCATTCTCCTGTAAAACAATATTCCATACTGTGTTTTAGTTTCTATTTACAAAGGCAGTTTCCATCAAAATTGCTTGTGTTAAAAGTAGCAATACTTAAGCGTAGGTGTTCTCTAATTATTCCAGGATAAGTTCATTCAAGACCTCCCCACTCCTGGCATCAATTCTATGTACCAGAATCCTGGTCTGTAGACAGAAGTGTGGCTCTGGGCCAGTGCAGAGCTGTTTTCCCTCTTTGAGCTCCTGCTGAATGAAGTTCTTATAGCACTCTGGGTCACTTTCAGCCAGATCATCTAGGAGATTCCAGAACTGAGTAATCTGGGTGAGCAGACCCTTTGAGGATGTCTGCATGACTGATGATGAAATAGGCCTCTGAAACCTGTGGAAAGATAAGATTTAAGGAAAACAGTATCTATGGATTCATTTCCTCTTTTAGGAGAAGAGGAGTGGATCAAGAATTGTTTTGGTGAAGTTATAAGCTATTCCCAACACGTCTAAAAGCTGCACCAACATTTTATCTTATAATTATCTAGTACTATTTCCTAAGTTTTAAAGTTATCCACTCAGGTAAGGGCTTATGTCTACCTGGAGTTTAAATGCTGAGGGAACAATCATTTTAAGTCTGGGTTTCCAGGTGATCTTATACCAACACCTGTATATCAGCTAACTGATGCCTCCCCAGTCCTTAAATTGCCAGAAGAATGTATATGGGGTGAGGGCCGCATGAGATCTCTCTGATCCTCTGTAGAATTTAGTAGTTAAGAGCATATGCCTTTGTTTTGCTCAAAATTAAGATGACAATACCAATCTCATATATATATATATTTTTTTAAATTATTTTTTAAACCAGGGATCGAACTTGGGACCTTCTGCTTTCGAGGCAGGGGCGTTGCCACTGAGCTAAATCCCTGGCCTTCAATCTCACATAATTATTGTGATGATTAAGTAGGCTAATATAAATAAGCTGGAACACTTGGTGAACTTTCAAGAGTTATAATATTCTTTCTACATCTTGAGATAAACATCTTCATCCTCCCCGCCCCCCCAGTGGAAAGGTGTCCCACATTATCCACGGAATGAGGAAAAGAGATTTAGATTCTATGGGTACATGTTAGGATTAGACTAAATATAAAACTAACGAACAATTATTCCAAAGGTTTGGGAACCCACCTCTGAGTTCACAGACAAACCGCGCCGTTTGTTACCCGGGTAACCAGACTGGGTACAACATTTAATTGGGTCCGAGAAGCTCCACGCGAAAATATCTCCTTACATCCAGTTCCGGAATTTCCCTTTTCAGGTATCGGGCTTGCTTTTCAGAGGAACCCGAAGCCCTTCTCTTCCGAGAGAGTGTTTCCTTTCTGTAACCGTGGACTTCAGAAGCGTCCAGAAAACTCTCCCAGTGGGAGTCTCTAGGTAGCCCATTGGAGGGAAGAATTTCTCGGGAGCACGACTTCCGGTCTTTAAAGGAAGCCTCCTCCTTTTTCTCTAAAACCGCTTCCTCCCCCTTCCCCTGCCACTCGAGGCTGCGGCGCACGGTATGGGTGTGTTTGTGTGTATTTGTGTGGGGCGGGCGTTTGGAGGGAAGGTTACCGCGAGCTCCGAGGCCTCTGTGGGGCAGGGATCCCGGTGACAAAGATGGGAGTATTTTCTCTGACTTCCACTTGGAAAACTCAGCCCCCCCTTCAGGCGCCCTAGACACTTCCTGGGGCCCAACGGAAGGTTGTACCCATCCAGAGCGTCCCCACCGGTTCTGGGGAGTGAAACCCAAGCCCCGGGG